TCTTTGCATGTCACGCACAGCTATGTTGCTTATTTTGAAACACCGTGCTATACATCTTAATTAGGAAAAAGACAGTGAAAATAACCCAATCAACATTTTTCTTTATCAAAAAAGCAAACTGGGGACAATTTACAAAGTTGAAACTCAACACTGTTCCGTTGTAGCCTGCAAAAGAAACGTCCTTTTTTCTGTCGCTTGTTTTAGGCAATCGGTGGTAAGCGAAGGGCGGCCGCAGCGGGGTGAGCGGGAGGGAAGTCACCATGCACTTCGCTCCCGGCAGGCGTTCGCCTGAATAATTAAAAGACAATAATTATTGCACATGTTCTACTGGCTAAGCTTTGCCGCTTTTTTCCATTTCAACCCCATAAACAATATGACAGAGGAAGAACAGTCGCACCGACTGGTTTACAAATAATTTTACATCACTCGACCACGATGCGCACAACCAGAGTAAAAATGTTTGAGAAAAGGTGAGAAATCTTAAAGCTGCATGACTTTTTTTTGTTAAAATTACTTTAATTTCAACTCGAGAAATTTTCATTTTAAAATTTCTTGTACAAATCTATTTTCTCGTGGAAAGGGTTTGACAAGTTGATTGATGGGTTTTTCCTGGACTACCCGCTGTGAACGCGTTCACTTGCACAATTCTGTGTTACAAGGGACGATACGAGGACGTAAAGAGCGCAGATTCGCGAGAATAGCATGAATCGAGCTAAAAAAAAAACGCTGTGCTTCGCAATTTCTGTTTGCGGTGCATTATGAAGTTTTTCATGAACGTGAGAAGTTATTCCTTCCTTTATTTTAGGTTTCGAGCCAAAATTTCTATCAAATAAAGAATCTAGAATAGTCCCAGGCCTCCGGTGGCAAGGTCCAAAAGTTAAAGAAAGCAACAGGAAATCGCTCTAATCCTGGAGAGAAAAGGAATTATGTTATTAAAAACACACCATGATGGTGTTGCAAGTTTAACAATTTCAAACGTACGTTTTTTTTTGAACTGGGAAAGACATGCTGCATCAATTGGATTGTGCTTAACGATTAGCAAGGCTGTAGTCAATTTGCGATTCCACTCTCAAAAATCCTAGCCACGCCCTTACCCAAGGAGACATCTTTGCGGACCTCTTGATTCAAAAAAAAAAACTAAAAAGAAGAAAAAGAAGAAGAAAGAATAGAAAAAAAGAAAAGAAAACGCAACTGACACGAACCAACAACTGTATCAGAAAAATGACCTCAGTGACCTAAAGGATAAATGCTCAGAAACAAAATTTTTTGCCAATTTTCTCTCTGTTTTTTCCGATGAAGTTTTGGATTTCTTTTATTGCATTGTAAATTCGGAATGACCTTTCCCGCGAATTTGAGAGGAACCCTTTGTCACGAGACTTGCTGGGGAATTCGATGATGCGTTTCATCGGTCGATTGGCAGCATGTACGTATCGACATACGCTTGTAAGGTGCGGAAACGGTGAGTTTCTCTTGAGGTCAGTTTATGATCGGACAACGACACCCCAACGTCAGAGTTCGGCACGTAGACATACTGAGAAAACGTTTACCTCCATCTAACTTGCATTCATCGAAGGATGACGAGCTTGAAATGGATAATACATTAGAAACGTAAAAGGAAGAAAAAAGGCTAAGAAAATAGATAAAACGGTTAAAGCAAAACAAAATCATTTCTATTTCAAGGAAAAAGAGTCTTTGCCGGCGACTTCTGAGCAACAGAAAACACCACGGGATTCAGAATATAACTAACAATTAATAAAGTAACCTGAAAAAGAAAACTACTCTGAAACAAAAATAAGGGAATAGGAAAAAAGAAGATAAAAATTATGATAATAAGGAGAAAAAGTAGAAAAAACAGCAAGAACAAAATGCAAATTCCGCGGGGAGGAGTTCCTCGGCCCCCAAGCCAGTTTGAGAGTTACTCCTGGGCCGCAAGCTTCAAATCATACTCGGGGAGAAGTTATTCGGCCCCCAAGCCAGATTGAGAATAACTTCTATAGCGTGATTCGAACCCGCGACCTCGATGACCTCTCTTGCACTCGTTGCGCGCCTGCATATTGTATTAGCAGAAAGTGTCGGTGTAGTGAGTTTTAAAATACCAGACTGGGGGGGAGGGTGAGGAGCTTTGTCTTACTAAGAGTGCAATCGAGCGTTTCCGGTGAAGAATAAAGGAAATGAATCATACAAAGAACTGACAAAAGCGATCTACACGAGGAATATTAGCATATGTAATAATGGCGGACGGCTTCCTTTGCTGAAGCTCGTTAATGTGATTCCTCAGTATTGCATCGCACATATTTAAGTGCGCATAAAAATCACGTTATCATATAGGCGAATATGCGCGCTTATTGTATTTTAATCCATGGACCAGGTTAAAAGGCACGATGGTCTTTAGTTCTTGATTGAGAACACTGACCTATATTTTCTATTGCATAATTTTGGTGTATAAATTATCCCTTTTAGATTGGGGAATCTTATCTGGCCTTTTCGACTCCTATGAATCCCTCAATAAATTAAGAAGATAGCAGTCCTTTTATAATAACAAAATTTGTATTATCATTAAAAAGTTCTTTCAGTTCATGCAACAACCAACAACAAACTTAAACCACATGACCATTTCTCGTAGTTTACAAGCCATTGCATCTTGTCTACATCTTCTATTAGGGACTGGTCATTATTTATGAAAAGGGGAGGGGGGGGGAGGGAAAGCCCCCCTACTCTCCGGGCGATGTAAAAACGTAAATGACCCCCCTTCTTTATCCGTGATGACCTCTCCCCCCCGCGTCTCCTCTTATATTTCAAATTATGATCAAAATTCGCGTCATATACAACCATAAGATGATAACTTGGCATAACAAAGGAACTAACTTACTAAATCACAAAATCAGCGTATCGTATAACAGTCAAAGAAGTCAAAATCCAGTTTGTGAAGACGAAATTAACTTTGAGGTATTGGACAGCTTGCATGACACTGGCTCTGCAGCAGAAAGGCTGGAACACTTAGTCAACCGAGGCTTCTTTGCTATGGATGCCCCTCAAGCAATAGGGCGGCAAATTTTGGACAAATTATGCGTATAGTGTACGCACTAGTATTATTAATTACTGAAAGTGATGTTTTGTTAAACTAGCTAGTGGTAAAACTTGATGTATCTTGACTTTCGAAAAGTGATAGATTTTACAAATTATACCTTCATGGTGAACACGAATATAAAATCATGCAAAAAAATTTTTTTCCAATGATTTTCATATCGTTTTAAAAAAAACTTCTTTCTTGTTGTTATATCAAGTTTAATTACTTCTTGGGTTATTGAAGTGACAATCACTTAGCTTTGTCAAAATAAAAGTCAAACCAAACATTGAAGCAGATGGGTCTGGATTCTTTATTAACTAAATTTGAGATAACGATGGAGTTAAGAGTACAAGCAGTATTTCTGTGAAATAAAAATCACAAAGTTGTTCAAAATAGTGGTGTTTAAACAAAACAAAACCCTAGAATTAACACAACTAACATAACTGTTTTTAAGAATTAACATAACTGTTTCACATGTATTGCTTGCGCTCTACTTTTAACTGTTTTACCCACCTTAGACAATGGACCACTCTTAAAATGTACTTCAAACTGCAGACACCCTCCAAGCTTCTTTATAAAAGGTTTAGCCCCCCCTCCCTCTAGCCAATCTGAAATATCCTTGACCCCCACCCTTCTTTTTTTGCCTCCCCCCCCTCCACATCTACACGAATAATGATCGGTCCCTAAAGAGAAATAAAGGGAGTTGTTTTTAAAAGTGACTTTTCACAAAACGAAGCTCTATATATTTAATCACTTGTTAATTAATCTCAATCGTGGTATTTACCGGCATTGTATATTAATATTCCGATATGTCAATTCTATCCAAGTCAGTTTCTTGAATCTTTTAAAATTTAGCCCTTAAAAGCCATCGCAATTTCTTATTTTGTGGAATCACCCATAGATCATTTGAGGCTTTTTAGCTTTCTCTCCTCCAGAAACAAAATAGCGGTTGTGTAAGCATTCAAGAGATCGTGAACGATATGTTTTTGGTCAACTACAGTGCGTGAGAAGGGGCAAAACAAAAGAGTGATGAGTTCAAGTCATTAATGCCCTTCACACGCAAGTAAAGTGCCTTTGAAAGAGTTCAAGTAGTTATTTTGCAACGCAAATTGTGGACATTATATGGACATTTACGTTTCGCTCAACTTCAAGTGCGCACAATTTTCAGACAATGTATAGTTAGAGGGCTTCGAAGTTTTCGAAGTAATTTTTTCGGTAGCATTTTCACTTAGAGTTTTTTTTTCTTGTTCAGAGATGCATAATAGTAAATCCTAACTTATTTCAATATAAACTTTGGCTCATTGGAGTTTTCCGTTGTCAACGAGTTATCAGCGACTTCCTTAAATCTGAAATTTGAGCATGATTGCTGAACAAGTTCCTGTTGGCCTGTAGCGCAATGGCTGAGATTGGTCTGGAAATGACAAGAACTCGTCTTGTGTTTAACCCTATGCATCCTAACAATCAGTATGCATATTTTCCACACTGTTCTGAACATTTCCTAATGTGCTGACGGGGAGAATTTGTTTGATGATCAAGAGCCTCTTAAGTTGGTGAACATTTCCTTCATTCTCGTGACTTAATGTGTGATTCAGGGGTGATGTTTTAGGAGGAATTAGATGCTAGTTGCTCTTTGGTGTTAAGGGTCGATACGGCCATTGCATCGGTTGAAGTTTGTATCCTAAACTGATTGTCCATGACGTTAAAATGAGTAAATAGTGTTTGTACCTCGGAATTTACTGGTTTCTGGGGGGGGATCATTAAAATGAACACCACTTTCATCAGTTTTCGCAAAAATAATATGACTCGTCTCTGTATTTTTCTTGACATATCAAGCATGTCTTGCAGTTATATTGATTTACAACAAAACGGATGTGTCAGTATTTATTTGCGGACGTGCAGTTCTCGCATCATTAATCCGTTCAAACGCAGTGTCACGGAAGCGGAACGATCGGAGCGGCGATCTAAACTAAAATATGGGTTCTTACGCTGGCCATGTTCTTCCAGGGTCTATTTTCATAATATTTGGCCTATGGTGGTGGTTTAACATCCTTGCTAAGATTGCGAAAGCCCAACTAAATTATTTCAAAAGACGTTCCCTTGCGCAGCAAGGGCGCACAGAGAAATTTGACTTCGAACTCGACTTTGAATCTTCTGTGTGGATGAAAGTTCCTCTGCCATGTCTAAGAGATTTCCCCGCCGAGCCTTGTTTGAAAGTTATAGGATGCACTGTAGGAATCATTGCGGAGCTGTCGAGAGGCGAATGGAGCCTTCTAGACAGTCATGGGCATTTTTCGCACCTAAACAACTTCGGTCACGCGACAATGTATGGTAGTTTTCTGTTGGCTGCCATGGCTGAAATTCTTCGCCATTACAACATCTTATTTTTGCCTCCAACAACAGATTATGTTATGTTTTCTATGGCTTTTTTCCTGGTCGGGGAGTTGTTTTATTTCCACATCGAAGGTCGCAACGATCTAGAACAAAAGGTACATATTCCGCTGTACACCGTCGCATTTTCCATTGCTTTTATCATAATGCTGGAAGCGTGGCAACGCAAGAGTCTTATCTTGTGTATGGTGCGTTCATTTCTCGTCGTTCTTCTTGGTGCCTGGTTCTTTCAGGTCGCTCATGTGTTGTACGGGTCTCATCCTTGGCAAGATATAAGTTCAAACCACGCATTCGTCGCGATTGTTTTTTCGTGGCACATACTGGGCTTGCTGGCGTTTTTACTCGTCAATCTTGTTGTAATCGGGGTCGTAATGTTTGCGTTCAGAAAAGCAACAGGATGGTCGGTAGTCCTTAACCCTTCAGGATGTCAAGAGAAAAGCGAACTTCACAGTTTGATGAATACAGAACATGATAACGAAGACGCGTAGACTTGTTAAAACTGAACATCAAGCGGACGTTGTCGATCAACTGAAATTCCATTGTTATCAATATCAATTATCAATTTTCATACGATTGTCAATTTATTTTTTCAGCTAAAAAAAAGGAGGTTAATTAGAACAAATTAAGGAGCCTCGATCTAGTAGCAAATAGAGATACAGAAACTTTGAGGGTTTTCCTTTAAAGACCGAATGCTGATAAATTGTTAATTATATAAATTATGGAAAAACTCTTACGGGAACTGAAACTTTATAAAACGTAACGATATATGCCTCAATTTTGTCTTCGATAAACCTCATGGCTTACGTGACATACCAAAATATTAACACTAGAGAGTTTTAGATCCACGTTTGGTGTGTTCACCTAAACGTCAAACCGTGGTCAGTAATTTTTGGTTAGAAGTTAGAAAGTTTCGAGACTTTCAGCATTTTAGATCAGTGCCGCCATCTTGAATTACACAAAGGATGGGGGTCTTGCATTTCAAACACAAAATGTGGCTAAATTTGTTATAAAGAAAAGACTTCAATTTACATATATTTATAGGACATACATCAAACTTTCGAATAGGAAGAAAAAAAGCGCCCAAGGAGTTCAACAACCTGAAACTGCCTTGCCCGAAAATCGAACGTGGACGGCAAACGGCGAACGTGACCGCTAGAGTCCGGTTACGTGACTCTTAGACGTATTCAGCCTCCTACTGTGAGAAGACAAATAACCATGAAACACATTAATAAATAAATGAAGAGATGAATAGATTTATTTCACTCTTCCAGTTCTAAAAAAGGAAAAACATGAAGCCGTAGTTTTATCGATATGAAATGTCGCTTTCGCAACAGTATGGTGTAAGGAATGGGTTGTTTATATTAACTTATACTCTGCTGGTATGTTAAATGATATTTCCGTCGGTGCTGCGGCGGGTTTTGGTGTGCATACATTTTTACCGTTTTTATCGGCAAAGAATTTTAAAAATTAAAATGACATCTTTTAAACTCAAAGGTTTTCAGTCATTCTTCTGTTCTTTTTTAAACAAAGAAGATTGAGCAATATTCGCTGAGCCTGAGGCGAATAACTGTTTTTGCATAATTTTTCAAGTGATTATCACAGCAAAAAAAACACCATAATTTTTATTTTAATTCTTTGCTGCTAGTTTGAAAAATTTTCGTTTTGCGTTGCGATTTTAGATGACGGTCGAGAGTTGCTTGCAATGACAATAACCTAGTTTCCTTGCAGAAACTTTTCTCCTCGAGTAGAATTGTAAGACTTCAACAAACGTTAGATCCGCCCTGTCTTAATAGAGGCATCAACTGTACTGTTGATATTACTTTGGTCTTTCAAAATACTGTGGACCTGGAGAAAACTAACACTGTCGATCGACAAATTCGTCCTTTAAATGATTCTCTTGCCTTGGTTTAAACCATTTTATTTTTGTCTGTTCATACGGCAAAGTTAAAGTAACGATTTTTATCTATGAAATCATGCATGCGCTACATCGCGTGCGCTACCTCACGCGCGCTAAAAGTTGGTCCTTGGTTGGCGTGTTGTCTGATGATCACTATATATTTTTATTGGCTTGTAACTGTTGTTAACTATCTTGGCATTCTACATGAATTTCACTGACGTTCTAAGTTTTGATCATTCTTAATCAAATGGAAGTGACGAGAAACTTATTCGAAATGCTAATGAACTACCACTTGAAAACAACGTCATAGATGAATTGTTTATGACGTAAACTTACACAAAACCCGCTCTGAGCCAAGATGCGTGCTCAGTTTTGTGAAAGCTGAAGCTCTTTTTGTAACGTGAAGAAAGTGTGTCTACATTGAGCCGACGAAATTATTCCGCATGTTGAAAACGTTAACTGTCGTCTTCTTGGTTTGGTTTTTTGTTACAGCACTACAGATATCAAGAACTGAAGATCATATAGATCATTTTCCAGCAGTTTTAAAAAGCTCCGGCTTAAGTAAGCAATCTTTTTTCGCGAAGCCTCATTTTCTATAACTCCTTTATTTCAAAGTCATAACTTTGAAAAGGATATAGAAAGCTATCAAAAGGGCTTTTTCCCTCCGTTGAGAGAAATTAGCGCTTGAAATATGTTTTAACCTCACACACAGAACTACTTTTCCCTTCGATTTTTTTGTTTGCGAGGATTAAGCGAGCAATCTCATTCATTGTTCTTTTCCCGACTTTTGCAGCTTCCGACCTATACGCACAACTTTTTTGGATTTCAGAAGGTAAGTGTTAGAAGGTTGCTCGTATTTAATTTTAGTTTTTAAGAAAATCAACGTTTTCTCTCAATGAGTTCGCGGGTCACCTTTCCCCATGTGAGGACAAACCGAACATCATACAAGCGGCGGTTTAGGAGATCAAGCGCTGCAACTGTCGCCCCTCCAAGATCGGAGAGGCTGACAGGAACCACTAAACAAGACTGACTGAACAAACACGGACGACGAGAAACGGTGACGTCAACAATCACCTTGTTGAATATCATCGACTTACGAAACACACCAATGACTTTAAGTCTGTGCAATGCTCAATCGACAGCACTAACTAGCTAGGAAGACTTACTCAGGAAAGCCGGTTCAATACCGTAGAACAGACTCCCCTCAATAGATGTCAACAACCATCGGTACCGTACCAACGACTAAACACAGGATACAAACGATCCGAACAGAACGATCTAACATTCCCACGAGTTTCGGTTCTTGAATTCGATTTAATGAGGCGGTAGAACAGGTTTTTAAATGAACTGATCATAATTTGTCCTATACCAACGCACTGGGGAAACACCAAAGCAAATTACAATTATCAAGTCCTTAAAAACGCCGGGAGAAATAGAAGCAAATGCCAAGAAGCGATTGTGTAGCCCCTCCCTGGTTCTTTATTTTTTCTAGTGTGGAGGAAGAATGCACCTTATGAAATCGGCTACCCACTGTTTTACAGCACTCTTGTCATTCTCACCGTCATCCGATGTCTGTGTTTGCTGATACCGTCCAGAGAAACACTCCTTGTGCAGGTCAGTATTAGGAAAGAGGTCCAGTTAGTGGCAATAGTCGATGAAATCTATGAGAAAAGTAAATTAACGGACCACATGTCAGAGTAAATTTAAAGGTGCTGAGCATGGGAAAACGAGTCTGACCAAATCGCGATTGGGCTCGTTCTTTCTTCTAATTGGTTGAAACGAGTGCTTGAATGTGTCCAGATTGGCTGAGTACTTTCCTGTGCTTGTTTCGAAGTGGGAAGGGTAGTTGCTTTTATTTGCAGTTACAGTATAATTGATTGAAAACTCCTCACTTTTTCTTTGTAATGAATTTCTGCAGCTGTCATCACACTTTCATAAAGAGTGATTTAGTATTATGTTTTATTGTTGTTGTTGTCTCGACCTGTTTTTTTTCGTCGTCTGTAGTACGAAAACGAACAAAAGCGAGTACAAACGGAGGTTGAATCTGAAATCGTCGAAGACGACAAAGAGTACATGGTCGCAGCCACAGAGCCCGTTGATGTCACTTCCGCCGTGTCCCCACTACTTTCCGACAGTAATGTCTGCATTGCAGAAGAATTGATCGAGTCAGTTGAACCACACCAAACTGAAAATTGCACCCCATGCGTTCTCATGGAAACGTCTCTTACAGATGAACGTCGGCAAGAAGTCACAGTTCCTGAACAGCTCCCGGATATGGCCCCAGTTAATGTCACTGACAGCTTTACGTACCATATAAAACTGGGAGGGGCACTGGGATCAAAGATCTATCCCGAGACCTCTTTAGGGTAAGTTCGGTTGAGAAGGATTGGTTCTTACTTAGGCTGTTAGCAGTCTGATATTCACGATATGATAAAAGAGCACAAGTGGCGGAGAACAGAACAAACCTAAAATTGCCAGCAGTTATTTTTTCTCCTAAACTCTAGCGAGCAGTGCGATTTTTGTGTTCAGCGGTCCAGGTTTCGCGAGGGAACAAAAGGCCTTTTTTCGGTATACTTGAGTTATCCCGAAGAAAATTAGGTTCCATTCATTGCCTTCGGAAAAACATTCACTGTTCGTTTTCCCCAGTTTTGCTTAGTCTACAAGCTGTTGGACGCAGTTGAATTTTATTCATCATTTCCCGCTACTTTCATGCTAAATTATGCCTTTGTTACACGAGTCTTCTACACATATGTTTGGTAGGTTTTAAGGGGGCACTTGAGAGGATTCGTCTTTCTTTCTGCTCCTGCTTCGTATGCGAAAAATGCAAAACATGTTGTTGAAGGGCACAATCAAATAATCCGACAGCTCCTTTAAATTATGCAAGTTTCTATCTAGATGCCAAAATCTGTGTCATTCACGCGGTCATTCATACTTCATGTGTATCTTGACTTTACGCCTGATATCTATCTAAATTTATAAGTTGGGTAACTTTCTTGGAAGGTGTTATTTAATGGTAAACCTCTCTCTACAGAAAAGCTTGTGTTGTGGTTGCTGCCGGAGCTCTCATTTCTTACGGAATTTACCGACTTGTCTCGTAAGTTCGACTTGTGGAGTTTCAATTTTCCTTTGGTAAAATTTTCCCCACTTCTGATGATTACCATTTCTTTGAATTTGCAGCATTTGTAATTTTGGATTTCGAAGTAACTCACATTGTATTCTCTCTTTCTTTTCCATAGGAAATAAATAAAGGTTCACAAGGAAAATATAAACCTTCTTTAAGATATCTCTTCAGTCCCCCTAAAAAGAACAGTTGTAAAATATTTCTTTGGATAATACTGGCATAAGGTCATCTATAAATTTTTCAGTTGTCATGTAATGTAAAAATCAGATTTGAGAAAGATTGTAATCATACTTTTTGTACATAAGTCAAAGGTTAAAAATACTGTCATTTTTTTGCCCTTCAGTCGGTAAGAAGTTAATAAAAATTACTTGCTGCTCCAAGTGAAGAAAACAAGCGGCAATTCTTCCCTTCTATCCCGTTGATGCTTCCTTACTGTTGATTGGCAAATTGGCTTGACCAATCACGGTACAGTTCCTGCACCCTTGTCTAATCAAATGTCGAATGATATAGAGGAATGGTAGTTATGGTGTCCTGTAATGTTTTTCGTTTTCCACAGTGATTTTATCCCTTAACTAAGCCCAAGTTGGTCTTTCCATTCTTTCATTGCTTTCAACGACACTAAATTTCCCCCGCAGACAATGACAAGAGCCGATTTTAGTTCCCCAAGCTTTCCTTGCTCTTGCCACACTTTGAAAAGTCGTTCATACACACATGCCAAGGCCGCGCCACAAGCTGGTTCTACTAACATACGGTGATCATCTGAAACGAAAACAATGAGGATTTCATGTCAGACATGGCGCAAACTGACGAAGCACGACTTGATCTAACATCCAATTCTCCTCAATCTAATTTACCAGGAGAATTCGTTTTACAATCAAAGCTCCTTGGGTTGGCAAACATTTCCTTTATTCTCGCGACCTTTTTATTTAATTCATGGGTAATACTGTAAGGAGATTTCAGATGACAGTAACTCTTAAAGAATTAAGGCCTAACAACAATCGCCGAATGGGTCTATTTGCTTTAACGACAGAGAGACAGTGATTGCGGGAAAAACTATCAGAAGAAAACTAATAAGAGGTTAAGAAAATTCCTCCACGGTGACGATCCTAACCTAAAAGAAGAAATACTCAAAAATCGTTACCTGCAAATTTGTCGCATGCCAAGACAGCTTCCTTGTCACTACACGCATGACTTATAATAGCGTGGTTCTTGGTCCATTCAAGTGCATTTGCTGCTACTCTTCTTGCACCTAAACACTTTGCAACGCTGATGATAAATACAACAGGTAAAACAACTTTGATATCGTCAGACTGGAAATCACCACTGTAGAAAATCTATTTCGTTTACAAATTTTCTCTTTCTCTCACACCTTTGCATCCTTTTTGTATTCATGTGCGGCGCGCGTGAATTCACAAATTAGCCGATCACGTCAAAGAACTCTCACCTTGACATTGGAAAACTGACTTGGACATTTTCACGTACTTTTGTTGTTTTGTTTTACGGAGTTTAGTTAGTTGTTTTTGAGCTGTCGTTAGTGCAAATTTGTAACCCCTTTGTTTGGAATTTTAAGAACTTTCGGAGTTTTCAATTTAGCCGAATGTTGTGGTTCATTTAACAAGTTTAATAATACTTTCTATGGAGTTTGGACTCCAGCGTCATTTTTCGTAAATGGAATTTTTTACAATCACGTAACTGAGATCTCCCTTCCCTTTCTGTCCGAGGGGAGGTCAACCTTTATCTCCACCCCACCCTACTCAGATGGCTGTGGAGGTAGCCCTTCATCCCAACCCCACCCTTCTCAGATGGCCGTGAGCGAATTAAGTTGGGTCATGTTTAGTGGTTGCCTGCGGAGGATCAAAGTCAGCAAAAGCAATAGCAAAATAACCGATTTCAACTGCAAGAGTTTAACGTTGGCTCGTTCTCTTATCAGAGGTTCCAAATGAAATGTTAGCTATCATTCAAGGAAAGATGCGGTATTCTGGAAGTGTTTGCTTGCAGAAGCAACCTCAGTCCCTGGATTGTGGTAAGTAGTCACTTAGACTTGGACCCTATGCTAGATATCTGCAATGCGCTTAACTGTTTAGTTTTTTTTTCACGAACCTTGTAATAGCATCTAATGTAACAAGCTCCCCTGCTTGAACAGATGCGTTAAAACTGTCTGCTCCTTTAGTCTCCATGGCAACAACAGGAACATCAGTCCACCCTACACTGTGCATACCTTGTAGCACCCCAGACAACAGTCCCCCTCCACCAACAGATACCACAACAATGCTTGGCTTCTCTGGCAGCTGTTCAGCCGATTCGTGAATAACAGAGGCCACACCCTCCCTGCAATGTAAAGGCACGTTATGACTGGTTTGCAAAGGACTGTGATCAAAATCAGCAGAAAAAGGAGGAAGTGACTTCAAGGAAATTTTGTATGACCTTCTGTGTAGAGTTCCTTTGCTCTCTTAAGTGCAACTTTTGGTCAAAATTGCGCCCTTCCAATTCAGCCACAAGAAGTAACAAAAGGGTTGGGATACTTAAATTTCTAAGAATGTTGAACACCATTGATTTATTATAATTATAAATAAAAATTATTCTTACCAGATATCTGGGTGATTAAATGGTGGAATATATGCATAGCCTGGAAAGATAAAGACAGCTTTAGGGAACAACACTGAACTCAGTTTGACAAAGGAAAACAGTGTGTTCTAAACATTTATAAGAGAAACCATGTTTACCACCTTTCAATGATGACAGATTCTTATCCCATTCTGTAAGCCAATCTCTATTAGGGACCAAAGGAAATTGCAGTCATAATCATAACTGTTACAATTTCCTCAAATGTGATTGGTGCATTAACTGCTTTATTTTTCACTAATCATTCTGTACAATTGTAATATAATCAAACAGTTGACACAACCAATTATAATAAGTCCACTCTGCTAAATCCACCAATCACAGAATTGATCACAATAACCATAGCCATTTATCCTTAAAAAATGTGGAATTTCCAACATGGAGGAATTTTTTAACCTTAGACATTGTATCTACTGGAGATATTTATCCTAAATCCATTTTTTGTTTTTGGTAATTGTAACAGTTATGATTAATTGGTAACCAGGACTGTGTGTTGTCCAATTCTGTCGGTAATCATACTAATAATTGCCAAATCAGACTGAATGATTTCAGACTGGATTGGACTCCACTCAGTCCTATTTACCATTATTAATTACCTGGCTGCTTTGCTAGTGTTAAAGTTCTTGCATCTGCATCATCCCAAGACTATTCAAACAGTCAAAAAGTAGAATCAGTCTCAAAACCATTTCCACTTAAATGTCTCCTATAAATCTTTGCTAGACTCCTTTATGAACTGAGGTGATTGTTGCTTGAAACCAAGAGCAACCCTCCATGAGGTTAATGGAATTGTTGTTCAGGGTTAACCTTTAACTCCCAAATCAAACTTGCAATTCTCTTTACTGTCAACCATACAATTCTTATAATGTCAGTTCAGAGAATTTAGTATTGGATGAACATATCCCCAAATTGATGTCTTTCTTTATCCTCATCACTTTTCTGGTTGATATTATATTGATACTGTGAGGAGAAATTCTGTCTTGGTCACTCATGGGAGTTAAAAGGTTAACAGGAGCTATGTAAATTTTGCATATTTGTGGTTTAGTATTTATTTCAATCTTTCCCATCCTTCACTTTTCACCCAGGAGTATAAATGGGTACTGGCCAACTGTTAGATTAACCTGATGAAATGCTAAGAGTAACCTTGCGATGCATTTGCATCCTATCCAGGGGGGAGAAGTAATTTTCCTAGTCACTTAATGTTACAGAAACCCGAATAAGGTCTGCTGAATGGGCCACTTGGCAGGAATGCAGACTTTTTCCCATCCTTAGCCATCCTTATAACAGCTTGATTAATTCTTTCTAATTTAGTATTATCTATTTATCAATTGAAATTAATATTTTTGTGTGATTTTACTACTTGTGGGTGGTAATTTTCAATATGACATGCATAAAAATTTGAAATATTTCAATTGTAGCTCCTCTAGGATTCTTTAATTATACAAATTGCTAATGCAATTAAAGAACATGTTATATCTATCAACTTACGCTGCCACAGATTTCAACTGTAGCTCCCTCTTCCCTCAGTCTTTCCACAATAAACATTGGTGTTGACCCTGGCACAATCACAGTGCAAGGGATCTTAAGCTTCTTAGCTGCATATGCTGCTGCAAGCCCAGCATTTCCACCTGACATCATACAAACATAGTTGATTGGTTAATGAAGGACACCCATCAACACAGTTTTCAATCAATGATTTCAGCCCATCTACCTACAGCTTATCGCAATTTCCTTACTATGAAGCAACTTGAAGAATTACTTCTCCCCTTCCCCCCTGGAAGAAGAACTCAAGAACTCAAGACAATGATCCAGTCAGGTCTTGACCCAGACCTCTTGTCCTGGAGTCCAGGGCACTGACAAGTAGGCCACTCTGTTTCCTACTCATTAATCCTTTTCACCCTAACATCAGTATGCATATTCACCATACTTTCTCTATACATTTCTTAAGGTTCTGAAAGGAGAATTTAACTGAGTTGATAATGTAAATTGGCCACTGTAAAGAGTTTCAAAGCTAACTTGACCCTTTAACTCCCATGAGTGACTAAGAAAGAATTCCTCCTTACAATATCAGTACACTATCAAGCAGATTAGTGATGTGAATAAAGAAATATATCAATTTGGGGATAATTAATTGATCCAATACTAAATTCTCTGAATTAACGTTGTAAGAACTGTATGGTTGACAGTAAAGAGAATTACAAATTTGGTCTGGGAGTTTAAGGGTTAAATGTATACAGGGGGTAAGTTTTTAAAGAAACTGTGGAGCTGCATTGGTGGGGGAGTATGACAGGGTAATCAAGTATTATCAACTGACTTGATAATGTAAATTAGCCACCATAAAGACTTTCAAAGCCAAAATATCAAAATATACCTGATGAACAAACCATATGGTTGCATCCTCTTTGCATGGCCTGGAACCAACAAAAAATACAGTGCTAGTTTTCATTTATCACCTTAAAATCAGTATGCATATTCTCCATACTGTTCTCTATACATTTCCTTACATACTGACAAGGAGGATTTTTTCAATATTTAATAGCTTCTTTGGTAGGTGATCATTTTCTTTATTCTCATCACCTTAAAGTTTGGTTCAGGGGTGATATTGTAAGGAGAAATTAGATGCTTGTAACTTGAGGGTCAAAAGGTTATTACCAAAACCCTTACAACAAATGATCTGATAGTAAGGAGCCACTAAACTCAGAAAAAAAACCTCACCCTATTCTTTGAAATGACTGATTATTTATTCCTAACATCAACTTATTAAGATGCAAATTGTTCTCTTCTAAAACATTTTTTCTTTCCATCCTACAATAGTGCAATGTCTAAAAATCTACTTCTTAAAAAAATTCAATAGCGGCTATATAATTGTCCCTTTGAGTGGTTTAAAGCAGTTTCGACAACTATGGCACACCCTTGTCTTAGCTTTAAAACACCCAAAAGTTCGTCTGAAGCAACCAAAATGACCCCTGTTACATGTAAATTTTCTTCATAAATCGGAGATGTTCAATTGTCACATTCTCATAAATGTTTCTCAATCTTGAACCACCAGTAACAAATTTACATATAGGTTGCTTTTCAAAAGCAAGCTGCATCAGAACTTCGGGCGTAATTCTTTCCAATGAACTACACAATGCTTAGGAAACGTGACGTTAACTATGATTTTAACAATAACATTCATTTTCGAACACGTGTCCCTTCTGACTAGAAAACTCTCGTCATCTTTGAGTGTTTTTAAGTCCGGAAGATATTTGAATCCAGATTAACAAGCCAATAACTTGGACGTAACTGTCATATGAATAAATAAAAACTAAAAAATTGACAATTAAAGCGGGAAGTTTATCAAAAATTATGCAGAGAAAGTGGTGAGCCCTGGGAACAGGATATTATGATGATCAAACCTTCTGGCACAAATTTCCAATTCCTCGAATCTTGAAGGATCCTGGTGGTTGTACGTTCTCTAGCTTCAAGTAAACAGGAAATCCTGTCAGTTTTGTCATAGCATGGCTCTCAAGCAGAGGTGTTTTAATATGAAGCGGCTCCATGGTAGTAAACAGCGGATTCTGTGACAATCACGTAATATTTAAGCGCGACCCTGGAAACGGGACTCGCGTGGCAAAATAATAATTGTCAATAGGCGCGATGGGGGTGGGAAGGGGGATAGGAATGTTTTTATTCATCGTGCGAACGCTAATTTATCATCCTTGCGTCTCGCATTCGTCGCCATATATCTATTCCCTGGTTCATAAACACAACCACTGATACACACTTTTCAAAGCAACAACAAAAAAAATTGCCCTATTTACCTTCCTCAACACTAACCCTTACGTAAAATTCTCACAAAATTATAAACCTTAAGTCTCAGTAAAATGCATTCAGAAAAAAACAAAGCAGTAAATATTCCCTTTAATTTTTTTCTTTCAAATTATATCTGCCATCTTATTTTGAATAAGAAGCGTGGGTGAGATTTTTTATTACTAGTGCCACAGAGCCAAGATACTCCGAGACACCCTCACCTAAAGGGGTGAAAAGCCTCAGAAAGTAGTTATATTATACATGTGTTTTCAATTATTTATTTCAATTTAATCCTGTATGAAATTTGCCAGATGGTAATCACTCATAATGATGCGTCAAGAATTTTGCTGAAAATCTAAAATAGTTTCTATTGTTTGGTAAGGGTAACAGAATCATTACACTCAAAGAGCCATTTTCATGAATTTCTTTCCATTAATTGATCTAGTAGATGTTAACGTTTTTTTATGGTTATCTCCTTCTGATCCAGGGTGGATTTCACAATATAAGCCCCGCCCCGAGGATCGGATTCAAAATTTTACGTCAAACATCTAATTGTTGCCAATACATAGCTTAACTAGATCGTGACAAATTGGAAATATAATTTTGATATTTTCAGGTTTTTAAGCACGGCCCAGTTTTTTTACCAAACCCTTCCAGGCGGGCACATGCCACTGTAGGCCAGAAAATCTGATCTCTGGCAAGAGAGCAGGCCATGATCACCTGTCTCAAGCCGACAAAAAACGCCGTAGTTTTGTTTGTTTTTACTTTTTTCCGGTAATATTTTTCATGACACAGTCTGATTCAAGATGACTCCTTAAAACTGATTAGGCAAGTTTGGGCAAACACATCGCCATAAAGTTTCCCTTGCAAATCCGCGCGAGACCTGAGGAGAATTATGAGCATTAACTCTACCAGCGGTAGCGCGCGAAAACAGCTGCTCATGCGCACTAACCCTTTGGCGCATGCGCTCTCAGTTAAACCAAATTTGTTCTTCTGTTTTTCGGAGGCTAACAGAGGGTTTTCTCTCACCTAAATTAGGCACTTTTGTCTCAAGCTTCTAGTTTAAGCAAAGGTCTTTGCTTCCTCTCAGAAAGCAACGATACAGCTAGTAGTGGGCTGAATCGCGAGACATTTTATCGATGAGGGGCTTAGAAAATGCCCCTCAACTCTGAAAAATTTAAGGGCGGCAATTTGTTCGAATTGTTCCCCTAGGTTGGAATTTCTCGTATAGAAAAACTCGAGTTTTGTTTGTGTGGTTACTCTACGGTAGAAAACAGTTTTGTAGGTTACTTAGAAGTTTGCAAAATGGATTACGACCACTTGGATCCAGAAGGAAGCTTGATGGACGTGCGTAGAAGTTCTTAGTTCCTTTCACCAATTTTGCTTTGAAACTGGACTCGCACCAGTTGTTTACCTTTATTACATACCCATTTCTTTATTATTTACAGAGGATTCAAGCCCTTATCCAACCTCCGCAGTCGGAAGATTCAGGGAAGAGAATGAAAAAAGGGGACAAAGAGGCGCGGAAGCAAGGACGGGCTGTCAACAACGACAACTGTGATAGCTGTGGCGAAGGAGGTGATTTACTCTGCTGTGACCGATGTCCCTGCGCTTTTCACCTGACATGCTGGTTAGTTCAATTATGATTTTTTATTCATACATTGTTAAAGGAAGTTTTTATCGGTGACTTTATATTCTATGTCCGAATTGAGATTTCTTCCTTGACTTCACAATAATCATGTTTGAAAGACTTTTAACATGTTACAGTAGAAATGCTTATTTTAAGTTATCACACACCCGCTCATAGTTACAGCTGATGTTAATTATCGTAATTTTCCTGAAGCTGCGCTGCTTATCTTTCTATACGAATTGAATTTCCAATCACGTGGAAATGACTTATAAATGTGGTCTCTATCAAATTTTACTCTTCGAATCGAAATGTAACAGGAGAGACCTACGCTCAATTGTTTCAACTTGCGTAGGTAAGTGCACTCCAAAATACGATAACAGCGTGAATTTGTAGGAGAATAAAAATATTCCTCTTACTCTAGTATAAAGTTTGAACACTGAAATTGGTATCATCATAGAAATATCTTGTTTCACATTATTATGGCTATTAATTAAAGTATTTTGAAGGTCTGTTTCTGGAGCTAGCTTTTTGTTCACATTTCATACCTAAAGAGTATTCCAAAACTCAACAGAATGTTCTCCTTTTACTCTCAAGATATTTTGTTTTGGATGTGGTGGTCAATGTGGGATGAATTTATGAACAACCAAACAGAAGAAATCAGTCATTTTGTTGTATGGTTGTGTATAAAAACATGTTCCTTATTTTGTTCAGATACTACTTCCCTGTACTCTCACTGTTTAGTCCTTCTATAGTTAAAACCATTTATTGTTTTTTAGTTTTTGGCAATTATGTTGGCTAAGATGTTTACTGTTATGCCTCTCAACTGGGAAGGTTTTTTTTTTGGTCAGTCTTTTGAAACATGGTACAGTTAGCTCTTAAATGTTCATACACCTCTCTAATTGTTCTTTGTAAAGAAATGGAAACTGGTGATTGCATATGATTGCAAAATAACTGCAATAACTGAGGGATTATTTGAATATAAAGCCAAATCAAAGGGCATTTTATAATGTGTCTAGATTATTTACAATGAATCATTACCATACACTACCTGAAAACTTAAATGTTTATACTTCATTGAATCATAGTAGTGTCTGGTGTACCATCCTTTGTTCCTAAAAGTGCTTACAAACTGTTCCTCAGTGTTCCTGTATTTTGTTGTTCCTCCAGATATCTTACCATGTAAAAGTAATCTATGTTTTTGACTTTGATTGGAGTGTAGTTTCTTAAACTTTTATTTATCACAAACACTGGTTAGAAAATAAAAATTTATTTTCCTGTTTAAGATAATCTGGGAAAGGTTGATATCTGGTCAAATTTTTCCTCTAAACTTGAATTTATATTATGTGATGATTATATAGTCTCTTTATCTATAGAAATTTGGAGCTTTCTTTCAATGCTAAATGGTGAAAGAAGCCTTGTGTTATTTTATTGATGTTGTTCTTAATTGTTGTCTATTGTTTTCAGTGATCCTCCGCTAGAAGAAGATGATATACCTGATGGTGAATGGCTCTGTAATGAATGTAAAGCATTACCCAAAGAGGTAGTTATTGTCTATGAGAGATTAACCATTCTATTGTAAATACAATGGCAGAATAATTTGTTTAGTTTCATTCAGACAGTCATCATGGTAAAAAAACTTGCTCTCTGAAAATCTTATTCTCTGCAGGTCATGAATTGGCCACAATGAAATAGAAAGTTAAATTTGCTATGGTTGAAATATCTAAGACAAATTGTAACAATGCCTCTTTTGTAATTGGCAATTGATTCTTATCTTCTTTTTTTTTTTTGAACAAAGCATCTAAATGGTGCCAAATATAAGTTGGAAATTTGGAAAACAATTTATGGCAATAATATAAGTCAAACTCTTTGTGACCAGATTGGACTGAGTTAACCCTTTAACTCCCAGATCAAATTTGTAATTCTTCTTACTGTCAACCATGCAATTCTTATAATGTTAGATTGGATTAACTTATTATCCCCAAATTGATGTTTATCTTTATGCTCATCATGGATCTGGTTGATATTGTATTGATATTGTAGAGAAAAATTCTTTCTTGGTCACTCATGGGAGTTAAAGGGTTAAGTAAATGTGCAAATACTGTTGCTAAAACTAGACAAATTTGTCCCCTTTTTGACTTTCACTTGTAAATACTATGATCTAAAAAGATAATGTAAAGTGGAAAAAAATGAGTCTTATCTACTTTAAAGTTACTTATAAAATTTGTGTGAATTCTTTTTCAGGATGCTGATAATAAAGGGAAAGACCCTGCAAATGATGGAATGAAAACTGATGGTCATTTGACACCAGCTGTGAAAGAAACTGAGAATTCAAAACCAGAATCACCGTTTTCTGCACTAGTAAAAATGACAACCGGAAAAAACCCAACTACATTTTCTCTACCACCTGAACTGAAGTGTAATACCTTCTTTCCTGGTTAGTGTTGTCTTTGTATGGTGATATGTTATAGAGTATGAAATGAAATTATTTCTTGATTAATCAAAACAAAAATGTTTGTAGTTGTGGTAGTATGTAGTTTAAGTGTTGTAATTGTGCAGTGATGAAATAGTTAAATCTTGTGTGTCTTCACGAGAGGAACATACCTCTATTTCAGTGTGTTATTTCTTTGTATGTATTTAATTAGAGGGGGGATTTATATTCTCTAAGATATACATTCTTATTTTTTGAAAGGCGACAGAAAAAGGAAAAATAGTACTGAAGAAAGAACAGTTCCTGTAAAAAATGGGAAAAGAAATACTGATGATGATGAACATACAATCCCTCCTGGGCGACTTTGTTTTGCTTGTAGTCGGTAAGACACCAGTAATCTTAATCCTGTTAGTGTAACTTCCAAGATTTTCACATAGTACTGTAACTTATCTCAAAGAAAGTGGAAAGGATTTGTGTAGTGAATCATGTTTCATTGTTCTGCAGGAGTGATTTGGTTGGCCAACTTGTTCATTGTGACTTCTGCCCCCTGGCATTTCACATGGACTGTATAAACCCTCCCCTGACTACTGTACCAAGTGGCATGTGGATGTGCCCAAATCATGCTGAGCATGCTGAGGTAATATATTTGCCATGGATATTTATCATTTCTTTTCTGTTGTCATTTTTCAAGTCAATCTTCAACCTTTGAATTGTAAACATAAGTGAGGGTAGTCCTTCAAAGGTTCAGTGTTGGTTGTTATTATTCCCTCTAATCTGTGAACAATGGCTTTCCTTATGACTAAAGAGCTTGAATATTTCTCCAAGTGTGTCAACTGAAGAATTACAATTTTCAAAGAATGCTTCTCTCATAGGATAATACTTTCTGTAATACTCCTTAGGTTCAATCCATGTAAAAGTTAACATACCATTAATTCCTTAAGAAAGTCATTTTGAAAACAAATGAATGATTCTGACAGCACCAAGTTGTATTAGGTGGTTAGTATAGTGGAATTACATGCACATTTATTAGCATTTTAAAGGTCAACATCTCATTAAAAATTTTAAAAACCATTTGCAATGTGTGTGCTTGCAATAAGATTGTCTTTTTGGTCTTTTTAAATTTTTTTCAGCCTGGATTACGTGATCCAAGATTTAGCAAAAGACTTCAAGCCTATAATGACCTTAGGAGTAATATTTCCCAGCATACTATAAAAATGAACTTTCTTCAACGTGTGCACAGGTATTTGTTAACTACCTATTCCAGTGAAATAAGTTTATTTTATGTGAGTGCTTTGAACATTTTTTGATTCTTTGATGTCACTTTTAGATTGAAGAAACATCCTTCTTTTAAAAGAAAGGACTTTTTACCAACAAGAAGAAGAGCAACCTTGGTTAGTGTTTACTTTTGATGTATTTCTGATTGAAAATACCAACAGTGTACTGCTTTGAATTTTTGATTTGAGTTGTAAGTAATAATATTAGTTCCTTTTGAATAACAAAAAGAAAACTGGATGTATGTTTTATAGGTTCCACAAGCAATCAAGGACCATTATGAGTCTCCACCATATCGAACTCTTCCTGAACACATAAAAAGAATGCAAGAACCTTTACCACTACACGCGATTCCTCTGAACACTCCAACTGCAGAGGAGCAGGAAGAGGTAAGGCTGAGACTTGTTGAGAGGGACAAGGTGAAAATGAACACAAACTGGGGGAAAGTCTTGAAGGATTTATTATTACCAACTTTGATAGTGCCTTGGTTAGTCTTATCCCCTTGTTTGTTGTGGGTCCCCCTAGTCTGATATCACAAGGTTTAGCCAGTTTCATTGCATTTGAAAAGTGTTTGGATTATTGCTATGGGACTAAGGTTTTTCTCTGTACCTTGCAATTGAAAATTTGAATCAATCATCTTTGCTTTATTCAGCTACTGTTACCACAGATGATTCCATGTCCCATAAACAAACAAACACAGACATATTTGACTCTGGGAGTGATATTGATAATGTTGCATTCAGGGGTGTTACAATTTATTTTTCTGTAAGCAGTTTTGTTGTCCTTTTCTGTCAGCGTAAAGATAACTAATTTCCTTTTTTTCAAATTTTCAGTGGTTAAAATGTGTGATTAGCCTCCAATGTGGAATTGCAAAGCATCTGACACAACCATCTGTAAACAAAGCTTTGATTGCCAATCACACAGATAATGCCTCTAAAGGGGAAACGTCAAATTCAAACAATCACTCATCGACTTCAGGATCAGCCCATGCTACAAGTAGTGGAACTGGGAAAGAACCTGTTGTAAATGGTCTGCTTTCGAAGTCCGACTTAACTAATCATGTTTCTGCAACAGCAGCTAATGGCAGTGTACCAAATGCTTGCATAAGTAGAGTTGTGACAACCACTATTACAACCACAAGTGGTGGGAAAACAATAACAAAGCCACTGACAATATTATATGCATCTCCGTCAAAATTACAGACTCATATGAATGGACCACTTAATACAAAGTCATTAGCAAGTTCAGGTAACTCTGTCAACCTTTGTACTGTGTCATCTACACATTTACCTTCACAAGTCTTAGTCAAACAGGAGCCAAAAACTGTTGAGAAACAGGTGGCCTGCGGTGACTTGACCCAGTTGAGTGCTGAATGTAAACAACTTTCTAGTGACACAGCAAAACTTGTCAATGATATTGGTCATTTGAACAATGTTAAGGCAAAAGTAACAACAGACTCTATAAAAACGGTAGCTGTTTCATCATCCAGTTCTGTTGTGAACACAACTGTCAGTGCAGCTACCAGAACAATTTCAACTGTGACTCCTTCTGGTTCAAGTGGTACCAGCACAACAAAAGTTGCTTCATCAACACCAACAAAACTTATTGTGCTTACGAGCACAAACAGTGGGAACATCATTAAGACAATTGCTACTGCTGGGTTGTCTGCTGCTAGCACTGGCCAAATCCCTGGTGGTAGTATAGTAACATTAGGAGCACCTGGAAATGCAGGAAGTGTCAATCCTGTGAAAATTGGGACTGTGAATGCTTCAGCACCTGTGTCAGTTGGGTCAAGTCCAAACAAAGTTAACCAAGCAGCTGCAGCAACCTCTATGGCAACTGCTAATGCTATAAACAGTATCTGTGCTGCAGCAGGAGTCGACGCGTTCAATGGTCAGTGTTATCCCCTTTATTCATAGTTTAATGGTTCATGTAATATGTTTGAAAGTCAGTCAAGGTGTTGTTAAGCTTAGTGGGTGCTGAAAATTGGCACCCATAGTGTACCAGTTTGGAAGTAGTTCTCAACAATAGTTTTCCTCCAAGAAAAATGTTGGGGTGTTGTTCATTCTCCTTCTGTAAATATACTATATAGCTATACAGTTTTCTTGAACTGAGTACTTTTTGTCAGAAACAGAGTTGGCCAAGTTAGATCCGCGGCTCATACAAGTTTTGGCCTACCAGAGGCTACAGCAGCTTCTTACTCAGACCAAGGCAAGTTGAACTCTTCTTATCCTCTACTCTGCTTCATTAAGACTGGGACATTGACAGTTCTCCCCCTTTACTGGGGCCTTGTTTGGTGTTCAGGGCAATATCATGATGGTTCCATCTGCTGCAGTTGTTTCTCAGTCCCTCCCCTCTCCCCCGATACCACACTATCTGTTCCAGGCCTTCAGGAGTTACCCTTCTCTAAGAGAGAGCTTTGGTGTTGTTGAAGCAATTTCTTTGTCAACTGGTTCATGGTTAAAGCCTCCCTTGCTCAACAGAATCCCTGACAACCCCACTTTTGGTCTTAAGATGCCTTCTGTGACTTTAAATCTTATGTCAAACTTGTGATTAGTTCTAAATTAAAAAAAACCATAACATTGTTTGCCTGTTGTTTGCAGCCCATACCTCCAAGCCCAGTTTCAGCTCGGAAAATTTCCTTCAATGGCTTAAAAGAAACTATAGTTCTTCCACAACAAGCTGGTATGTAGTTAGTTTGGAAAGTTGTAGGTCTGTTCTTATTTCTTTTAACCTTGCAGTACTTCTCCCTCTTTACTGTGTGTTTCAAAGGTGTTGTGCCATCTCTTTTTTGGCATAAAGTTTGTACAGTGTTTTTTTTCTCTTTTTAGTTCCTGCTGGCAGATCCATAGCAGTACTGTGTCCACTGTCAGGGACAGGTCCTGTGTGTCCAATGATTCACAAGTGTCTGTCGTTAGGACAAGGTTAGTGGTTACACTATTTATTTGCTCAATGCCCATAGTGCATATTAAATCTATGGACCTTGAGCCCTCTAAAAATGAGAACTACTTATTTTCAGATGTTGATGAATCTCTTTAAAGTTGCAGTAATACATTGGGTTTCAGTTTTTGTGATTCCATATAATAAAGCACAGAAAATGTTAAAAATGAAAAATATTATAAGTTCATTACTTTTCTTCAGCTTTTTATTTTTGCCTCACAAAAAAAATATTTTCAGTGCTTGTAACAGTTTGTTTAAATTTTCTCTTTGTTTAAAGGTCCAGATATGGATGTTTGTCTCCAGGAATATGGACACTGCAACTTTATATCTGAAAAACATTGCTCTATATTCTATGATGAGGTATGCTCTGATAACCTATATGTTTAAAAAATATCAAGCTGGTTAATTTGAGTTTTTTAATATTTATTTTTATCTGGTTATTTATTTAATTATTTGGTACATTGTGTCCATAAGATAATATTCTTCTATCAGTATAAAAAAAGCTGGTGGTTAAAAGTTTTTTGTTTTGTTTGTTTTTTTCTCCACAGACTTCGAAACAGTATGAACTCATAAATTACAGTGAACACGGAACATATGTAGATAATGTTTTATACTCCTGTGACTTTTCGGACAAAATCAACAGACATGTTGTTTCATCAAAGGATCTCGATCCTACCAAAGTGAGCAAGAACAAATTGCTTGCTGCTGCGCAAGTGAGGCAGAACAATTCAAAGCCAAAAGGATCACGGAGAACTGTGGGACTTGGTGTGCAAAAAATTGTCAAAGCTTGTAACTGCACAACAAGTAGCTCAAATTTGATTGGGGGCAGTGGTGCAGGATGGGAAGGAACAGCTTTGTTGCATCATGGGAGTTACATAAAGCTTGGTTGTGCACAATTTGTTTTCAGTATCACAAGCCATGCAACAAAGTTGCCATCAACTTCCAAGGCTTCTAGTTCCAGTGATAAGAAAATCGCTTCATCTCATTGAGCCCTGGGTACAATATCACTGTCATTGGCAAAAAAAGAGATATATATATATTTCACTACTTCCAGCTGCTAAGAGGATTATGGACTTCAAAAGGAAAAAGATAACCAACAAGGAGCCTACGATTTCCTGCCCGGTGTTGTACTCATTGCTATTGTTCATGAGACAAGCAACAAACAAACAGTATTTTTATACTGTAGGGATGTGCGCACTGCATATTGGAGAAAAGAAAACATGTTAATAAAAGTGTAAATTAGATTTTTTATACACTGACGTCAAAGACTTTTTAGAGAAGCATCGCTAATTTTATTCTTGTATTATTCTATTTAAGACAGGGATGGACAAAATATTTATTATTTGTACAGTTTATGTCCATCTTTGTCTTGCAACTCACAAGTTAGCTTTTGTGATATCAAGGCATCTCCCACTAAAAAAACGTTGACTGTAACAATATTGTTAGTAGGTGTAATTAGCTAATTATCAGTTGCAGATAACGTGTGATCTTTGTGCACCCACAAAATGCACACATCTGAGATATGTACACATTCACTGAGAATTACATTAAATACCTTAGAGTGTTTATGTGAACATAACATCTCAGCTGTGTCCCATACACATTAGCCTAAGTGTAGCCGTATCCTCCCCCCCGCCAAGGTGAAACGGAGGCGAGACAACCCGCGGAAACCTCGCTTCCGTTTCACCATAGGGGGAGGGTACGGCTACACGTCGGCTACATACACATTAATTGAAACAAGATCTTGTGTGTTAAGATATATTGATACGATAATTAGAAATTGGATACCAATGTTAGAGCTCTCCTGTGTTTTTCTGAGTTGGTTTCTAGTTTTCAGAGTTGCCATCTGCGTTATGTTCTTATCGTGTCTCGTTAAAATTGTTGTTGAGGGAGGGGAGGACTGTTAAGTTTGGGTAGTGTTCTTGGTTGCTAGAGGTCAAGGGTATCTCCTTGTCGGCCAATTACTCGCAGAGGTATCTGTTTATCTGATTGTCCAAAGATAGTTTTGTTCTCATTTTCTCAGCCATCTCAAATTCTTGAAAAGTATTTGATTCTCAGAGATGAAATGTCAGTTAAGTCATTCGACTGCGTTTTTCAAGAGAATGGAGCAAAACTCGCGTATGTTAAGTGAGGATTGCAGAAAATATAATTGGCCAGATTACAAACAGTACATACTCTTAACGGAGAAGGGAGACTACCGCTTGGGAGGCTCGTATCATCGAGATGTCGGAATCGACACTGTTAAATAGCACCGACCTTCAAGGTCTTCAGGATTTACATCAACGGCTGGGGCAGACAATAGGAGAATTGCAGGAAAGGGAAAAGGCCAAGGAAGCAAAAGAAGCTCGCAACAGACTCGTGAAACGTTTGATTTCGAGTTTGATATGTTGGCCATGCGCTGGCTGTTGCTTTAAAGAAGGAGGATGGAAACGACGGGTTTGCTCATTATCCGTCGCTCTGATGTTTTACGGTGTAGTATTTACCGTTCTTGTGGCTACAGGAGGTATCCATTCGTCCCTTACTATTCTCATTGTCATACCAATATTGGTCACAGCAATCGGTGTACTTGTTGGAGTAGGATTATGTTGGAAAGAGAAGGATTGCTGTAAAAAAACGGGTCGTTGCGAAACTTCTTCCTCATCTCGTGTCCGTGGGTATTCTTATACTCCTCTAGACCAACCAGAACTCACATCTGTAGCTTAGGAAAAAGAATAGTCGGTTATTAACCTTGGCACTTTTTAATTGGACGCTAAACTGAGGAATGCAACCTTAAAATAGATTTATGGTTTGGAGAACCACACTACACCCTAACATAAACAAGCCAAGAATAAAAGCGGACACCTACGGGACTCGAGCATTGGTCTGCTTAATAAAGTTTTCTTACATTGCAAAACCGTGGTAATAGTTAAACCACAGCTAGATTACAGTGAGTGATCAGGAACCTTTCGGATCTGTCATAATATAACGGGCTGGAAGAATCATGCCCGACTGCAAGGCTGCGTTCATTGTTTTAGATAAACTGGATGGTTAAAGATAAATTTGATCTAGGTCATCTCTGAATCTGGATAACTGAATCATTTTAGGTTTGAATACATCTTGTGAATTACATTCAATCACTTTCTTTGGATTAACATTGTCTAAAAAGAAGAAATTGGTTTTTGTTGCGATTTCTCGTTCTAGTGACGAAGGGTCGACACAAAAAGTTCATTATAAATGTGTTAGAACTCCAATAAACATGAAATCTTTACTGCATACAACAGGAGGGATTTTTTTTCCAAGTCTCTCTCTCTCTCACAGTTAACTAAAGGCTACTTCAAGCAACCGTATCCAAACCTCCCATGGGTTTTTTTTTCTACCCCTCCTCTACTATCGCACTACTAGTGAGCTTAGTTTTACGAACTTAACTCCTGGAACAGGTTTGGGAACCTACAACCAAAAGTTCAACATATTAGACTACCATCTAAAATGGTTGGTCCCATTCGACAGGCTGTTTCCAGTGTTGGTTATGGTTTGATTTACATTGATGTAAAAACAAAATGTAACTTTTTTGTCATGAGAGATTAACTCACAGGGACCCAAAGAGATCGAAACAATATGAACCCACTCCTTTCCAGTCCAGTAATGTTTTGATTCATTCTCTGGCATACATTTAAATCACTGAAATATTAAATAATCAAGAAACAGAAACACCAAATCAAGGGTAGTGTAATTCTACACCACCATAGCAGAATGGGAGGGGTGGGAGGGTTAATTAATGCCCACAGTCAGGCATAACCCATGAAAAGAGGCACTGGCTCTCTTTAGTACCATACAAAAAGGAATCTTGTGGATTGAGTCTTTCCCCTTTCAAAACTTCCCAAGTAGGCATTTATCATATTCCCAACAATAAAAACAGAGAATTTTGTTTAAATTTTTATTGTCATCATCCATACCCAATGGGCTTACATCAGGGGGTTGTACAAAAATCTCCTCAAGCTACATAAATATAAGCCACATTTTGCAAATCTGACTTACTCAGACCAGCTCTATTTTATTGATGTTGCATGCACAGGTGTTCACTATCTTTTGTACAAAATGTAGACAATTTACCAGGGAAAATAAGACCCCCTCCCCCCCCTACAACAACAACTTTGTATGATGGAACAAAGCTCTGACATTTTTGGTACAAAAACAAGCATCTACCTCCTGTCTATCATTTCATATATTCCAGCAATAATCATTTCCAATTTCTTTCTACAACAATGTATAAAGTAATTCCAATGCAAGACCTATGATCACCAAACTGGTAACTAAGTCTTGACATAACACCAAATCTTCCTAAAGGAATACATACAAGATGTATGGAAAATCTGGGGTGATCTTGATGTTGAGTTTAGACAGATGATATTAAATCGTAAGAAAGTATTTAATCTTGTCTCTAAATGTTTGTCTGCATGTCAATGTACACATTGTAAGGATTACACTTGGAAGGGCTACCCATCATATGCATAATCGGCTTTATTATGCATGATAAGTTTACCATCCACAAAGTAGAAGCTGTCTGACTTAGTCTCAAATGGGTGGTTTACCATTTCTTGCACTGCAAACAAAATTTGACAAATCAGTATTCATCTCACTAATCAAAAATTCTCTCATCTACAAAAACAATGTATGCTATTACCAACTTGTCTCTTAAGTAGTCAGACAATATCTGTAAACAGACTCCTGTTCCCAGCTGCATGAATACCATTTTCAAACTCTCATAAGTGGAGTCATCATTCTTTAACCCTTTCCCCTAATGTAAAGCTAATTCACCAACCCAATGATCATACAATTCTCTCATGGCTTGTCCTAAGAATTTGGTATCAAAATCTTTCTTTTTAGTAAAGGAATAAAAGTGGACAGTTTCTGGTTGGACAGTGACAGGTAGCATACTTTTACACATATTTTTTTTCTTTTTTTTCTGTCATCTTAAACTGCACAAAAAAACTTAGTTTATACCTAAAATCCTTGAGCATAAAAAGATTTAGAATGGTTTTTGGAAACAAAACAAAACCAGTATCAATTTTATGGTTATTTACAGTGCTTTCACTGCAATTTTATCTACTTGATTTTATTGTTTTTATGATATACCCTTATTTGGGATATCCTATTAATGGTCTTTCTTTGTACAGGGAGGTGAATATATCAGTGTTTTTATCATCTGATGTATAACAAATTTCACATCAACAATGCAAATGTTATTCAGTCTTGAGGGGTTAAATTTCTCACTGCGATAAAAATTCTTTAATAGCTTCTTAACTTATCTTTAATGGTAAGATCATCAATATTTTTCTGCCTTTCTGTTTTTGTACTGTCCCAAATAGAGAAAATACCACAGAACACAAAGGAAAGTTCTATCCCTTACCGCTGCTTCTCTAGGGTATAAATTATTTGATCGTGATTAATTTATACTTAACATGATATTGATTAAGTTGTAGATTCAAGATATCATCTAGACAACAACTTAATGTTAACATGATAATTTAAAAACAACCAAAAGATATTTCCCGATAGAGGAACAAGATGTTTTAAAAATCTTAAACTTCGCTCGCACTTCATGCAAAAAAAACTATTATTTAATAAGTATAAAAGTCAAAACATCGAGATAAGCGTAAAAAGTGTATGTGATGTCTGGCACGTCAGTGCTAGGTCCGATGAATGAGGAAAACGATAAATCAAGCTTAAAAATATCTCAAAGACAACGGAGATATTGAGGTTAAAATGGCGAATGAGTAATTGTGCGGTTGAAACACAAGCAATTCTTCCAATTTGCCGAGTTCCCGTGTCAATTAGATTTTGGGAGGTACTACGACTCTAATTGAAAAGAAACATTCTAAACAAGAGAAACAAATAATCAGTTGAGTACTGACCTTCATCAATATCTAACGGTGGAAATTCGTAGATGTGTTCGCATGTATTCTTGCTATTTGGGATGCAAAATCCAAACTCAAAATCGAAGTTTTTTAACAGTCGATCTCTGAAGTAGTGCCGTTCTATCATACGAAAATTGTTGACGGGTTTGTCTCCTACGGTAAATTCGACTCTGAAAAAGAAAACATTGGATCCAAATTAGCAATGAGTCAGAACACAATTCGTGCAATCTAAAAATTATGGATTAGTAATTTTCAATAGAGAGACAACAACATGTCGATCTGAACATGCAATAGACAATTATGTTATACGTGCAACGAAGCTTATGGATACTATTAGTAAAAGTGTATCGGTCATCGATCAGTTGGAAATATAGGTAAGGTATTGGTACTAATTGAATTTATTAAAGCAGACAAAAGTCTACATCCAATAAAAGTAAAACTTACGTGGCTCCTACTGTTGTTAACTTCAGAAACTCTGGAGTAAACTTGTATCTTACGAAGCGACCGGCGTTAGGATCATCATCGTTGTCAATAATTTCGTCGTCGATGTTATCAGGTTTAGCTATCTCAAAAAGAACAGTCCCTGTTTCCATATCGCGAATTTTAAACCTGGTAAAATCGATGCTGTATATATTTGCACCAGGTTCGCAGAGGTAATCTGTAAATAACAGAGAGCAAGGAGAAGTACTTAGCACACAAACGACAATGAAGTTTCAAATCAGCAAAAAAATTCTTGCTCAGCATCCTTCGCTACAGTTTGGTAATTTGCGAGAGGATTGCCTTGGCTGCAAAATATAAACCACCTTCAACTTACTTTCCGTGCATTTTGTCAACTTCAGTACATCGTCCGGTGTTACGGTGTCCTTTTTAAGCAATTCTTCTTCAGTTATTGTCTTTTTCGCCTTCGACTGCCTTGCCAAAAATCCACCGCCTTTCTTCTTTGCTCGACCTGTATCCTCGTTCGAGTTGGAGGATCTTCCACTCATGATTATCAACAAAAGAAGATGTAAACTCTAGCAATAGCTTAGACAGTCCACTACGTTTGCTACGTGACTACGATGGGAAAGGGAAAACAAGGGACTCCGATGAAGACACGACCGACCAAGCGAAATGGCAAGGGAGCGATAATGCACTGTTCTTGGTCAGCAGCATCTGTTACCATGTAAACAGCGACGCAATAAACACAAGAAAGAGCGAGTTTTTGCTCGCTGCTCGACACGTCTCTTGTGTATGCGTCTCTTGTGTTTGCTTGTTTTTAATGACAGAATGGGAAAGAATGGCATAGTGTTTCTGTTTTTCTGTGGGAATAAGATACCTGTTTATCTTATTTCTACGGTAGAATGTAATTAATCAGAAACAAATCAAGTATGCGTACGGCTGACACCGGAAACGGAAAGGTCACTTTTTTTGTGAGTGACTCAGCGATTACCTTTCCGTGTATTTTTTTGTGGTTACTGCCTCCTACAGGAGGCGAAGTCACATATGTCGTCGAAATGGGTGAGTGAGTGTAACAATAAAATTCCGATCTTGAATCAATTTTGACCCGATGTTTCCCGGTGCTACTTATTGTTTGTATCTCACGGTGGTTCGACATTCGCACTCGATACACAGTTGAGTTATTTCCTTTTGTGATTTCTGGCTTATGGCCACTAGTAAATATGTTTTCAGTTCTCGCCGTGACACTACGGAAGACAGCAGAAGACAGTAAACATCTCATGATCATTTCAGGATTGTGCGCGATTGAAATTAAATCAAAACTTTTTCTTGCAGAAATATCTTATTGCATGTGATATTATGATCTGCACATTAAGGAAGCTTTGGGGACTTTTTTTTTCTCTGAAAAGAGAACACTTTTCTGTTTGAATTAGCGAATTACGCCGAAAAAGAGTCGCTAAATTTGCGAAGCGAGTAAGCCACAAAGTACGATACCTTGGGTTGTTTCACAGAGTGATGGAACGGAGGAACGGTGGGTTACTGGAACGACGTAATGTCTTAGACGCGGGATGCCTTTTTTTAATGAAATAAAACATCAAAAAATAAGAAAATTATGTATATTAAGAAGCGAAATTAAAAGAAGCATAGGTAATCACTGTTGGAGCCCAGAGCCCAAGGGAACCATGAGACTTTTGAGCTAACCCCTTAAATTATCATCATATTACAATTGTTATCATTATTATAATAGTTAATATCTTTATTTGTTGCCATTTAATTATTGGTTGGATATATATTAGACAACATATTTTTTAATCATCTTTATCATGAGGAACAGGGTACTCATAAATGTGTGGGATGCGGCAGGTGTTCTGTCTTCCATATGAAACAAATATTCTGCAACACTACCTTCTAGCGCCACTATATAACCTCTAGTTCTTTTCAGTGCTATAAAAATTGTGTTATGACAAGTAGCCACATGGAGTCTTTGATTGTCTATTTTTGTTATTTTGCTATTTGTATTGAGGCACAAATTTAAATATTAGAAAGTTTACGTCGTAGTTAATTTTGCAGTTTGCTTAGTATTCAATGTTTGCTCTATATGGTTTTACGATGGTAATTTTGTTCAGGTGTTACAACTGTCTTCCATCGCGTGGAATCAAATGGAATTGAAAGGAGGTTTCATGACCATTTCTGGAGAACACTTGGAAAAAACTGATAATTAATAATAATCAGTAACATTAGTTCCTTAAGATGTCATCAAAACGATAACAGTTATTAATCCTCTTACTCAAACACTCTCACGGAGCTAAACGATTTATATATGATTTACATATATCGCTGTTCTACTCTGTGAATGAAGGAGAAGTTCAGGCTCATTTCTTGACCCTTTACACCCTAACATCAGTATGCATATTCTCCATACTGTTCTCTATACATTTCCAAAGCTACTGGAAAGGAGAATTTGTTTTAAGACAATCAAGAGCTTCTTTGGTTGGTTGCTCCACGGGTGATATTGTAGGGAAAAATTACATGTAGATACCAGTAAAAGAGTAAACTGCGAACGGTCGAAACGTCAGCTTTAGCAGTTCTTCACGGTGGAACAATTTACATTATCAACTCAATTGATAAAACCAACGACAACGTTTCTTCAAAGAACAGCAATATATAATAAGATTTTAAAAGAGAGGGAACCTACTCGACATTTTTTCATCTTGAGCTCAAAATTTAATTTATCGACACTACCAATTCAAACTCTTTCATCTTAGAGAACTTCTTAAAAATCAAGAAATTTAATGGAAATTTCCGCAGTTACTGAGTCATTACTCTCACGTAATGTTGACAGAAAACGAGAAAAAAAGTTTGTTATTAATCAACCATATACTCTTATCTAATAACCGAAATGTTTTTAAATTTTCTGTGGGTGTACCGTTCACTGAGAGAAAGAAATCTGTAAGGGCTTGTATTTTGTCGCTGTTCTTAGTTACAACATATACAAAGAAACGCTTACATACTGTAGACTTCAAGGAAGCGAAGACGTCATACAGAGCTGGTCATAAGTTACTAACTATAAGAATTCGTAAAATAAGGTTTTCACTACTTCTCTTTGATTTTTGGCATGCTGCATCGGTTTTTGGAAAATAACATTATATCTAAACAAAACAAAAAAAATTACGCCTTGAACAAACACGTACATCCAAAAGTTGAAGGGAAATGATGCCGCGCCATGCCACCGAGCAGTCAGATTGCGCGCGAGACACGTTCAAGCTCTTCCTTTCAAATACTAATCTTTGAAACTTATTCGTGTTCTCAAGAGTCTTCGTTTCTTTGGGTTACGAGTCGCATACTCGGTGCACGCAGTCTCTGTTAGCCAAGGGAACACTTCGAATTTTCAATGGCAAAGTCCCTCGTAATACTTAATTCAATTGGCTTCGGAGACAACATTGGCTGAACTTTAGCTTTGTCGCAAAGTAACAGAGTTGTCAAAACGTTTCTCCACCTGGATGGTGGATTTAACACTGGTAAGCAAGTAAATTTAAACGGAAATGTTCCTTAGCCAAATTAACAAATGACAAATAAGGTGAATAACATAATCAAAGACGTTTCGTAAATGGATCGACAAAGGTTTTAATGTTCTTTCCTGGTGTCTTTTTGTTGAATGTTGAAGCTAGCTACAAGTTAATAAAATTTCAACGTTTTATACAAAGTTATAGGAAACTTAATCAAAGTTTCCCAAGACACCACAGGTGTTTCGCTTATGTTTGTCACAAACTTAAACTAGCAGACTTCACTCATACAATATTCACGTTGTCACTACGATGGCAGGGAGAGCCTTTGAACAGGCCTGGGGGCCAATATGAAACAGAAATGGCGAAGGCCAAAAAAGAAGAAAAAACCGGTCAATGTGCGCCACTGAATACAGGCTCTATCAAATAATCACAAGAGGCACCGAAAGAAAAAAAAAACAAAGAACAAAAGGAAACAACAACAACAAAAACATACAGGCGGCTCTTTTGCGCAGGCACACTTATAGGATAATAAAGTTAAATTACTTCTTCCATATAAAAACCTGTTTCTTTTTTCCGAGCGAAACGGGTTCTCACATTTCAGGACATTAAATGCTAAATTTGAAAATGCAGCTTCCTAATCCACTAGGTTCTTGTTTGTGGGTGTTTACTGTACTACAAATATGTCTACCCGCTTTTCCTAAAATATGGCTAACACAGTCTCTTGCAATCTCTCCTTTTACATATGAAACAAGAGGACGAATCAAAGAAACTGGCTCCCTCTTCTGGCATTAGAGTGCACTTCGATAGTGTTAGACAAACAGCAAAGTAATCACAATAGCAGATGAGAGGACAGAAAGCATCCCGGGGGCCTTTCCGAGCCAAGTCAAGATTTCAAATACACAAAGTTTTTAAAAAGCACGAGCAGAACTTCCACTTTCATTTGTTTCAACACGTTCTTAGTCATCTTCGTCCTTATTTAAGTAGGATCTCTCAAGTTTCAAGCAACTCGCTTGTAACCTTAATGTTCTGGTTATTTTCAGATTCTCTTTAGATTCCCGAAAACGAGAGAGATCTATAAATAACTAACAGAAATTACCACAAAAAATGAGGCGTGAAATAAGAAAGAGAATGGTAGCGTGATCATCTTGACGTACAAGAAATATAAGTAAAATGGTACAGTTAATTGTTAGTAAACGTGGGACTAAATTAGCCCCACTCCTTGCTCTATCGCGAGTAGAACTTGAGATGACGATCAAGACCAACAGACGCAACGAATGAGGCGTGTTTGCCAAATTTCACTCCTGTCGTCACATCAGAGTGTTCTGTAAAAGAAGAAAAAATAAAATACTGCGATCACCTCAGATATAGAAGGAGTTCGTAGAATGCTTTTCGATTAGCTTCTGAAAGGCAGAAGCAAAGCCATCACAACGGCCGGTAGTTCTACTCAGAACATGGGAAAATATCACAAAGGGCCAATGGGAAACAAGATTCTTTTCTTAGCTCTGTGATTGGTCATGAAACTCATGCCACCCTATCAACCAATCAAATGCAAAACTAAAATCAGCTGCTACTAAATCACACGCGTTCTTCCCCGCTAAAAGCCGTTTACACGAACTGTCGGAGCGAATGGGAAAGGACTAACGCTCGAAAAGTCAGCTTTAGAAACTCTATACGAAGGCCAAAATACATCATCGATTTAGTTGTTTTAAGAACCAAATTATCATGATATAGCCCCGCCGACGCAGCACTTCAGTTTATTTGGAAACTTTCCCCCTTTATTCTTACCCAGATTGGATAGATTGGGTAATATACTGAGCCACAATTTGATTGAAAGGCTATGTTAGAACCTTCAATAACAGGTTTTTTTAAATGAAGAATTTGGATATATGAAAATTCACATATTTGCAATTTGATTGAAAGGAAACTATGTTGTAGAACCTTCAATAACACCGGTATCGCAGAGGTTTTTCTTAGCTGCGAGGATCTTCTAATTTCAACAGGTTTTTTTGTTTCCGTTTTACCTATCCTTTTATATTGAATGAAAGGAAGACACGGAAAATTTACCTGCAAATGACTTTATCATCTCCCATTGTTTGACGAGATAGATCCTAAAAAAAAAAATACAAAAAATGAAATAGAAAAACAAAATTGAATGCTTGTCGCCAATCTTGAGAAAATCGAATCGAACAAGCACAAGATGACATGAGATGAATTACAGTCAGTTTAAATTACTTAAGCAAAGCAAGACAAAACTAGCATTCCTAATATCTAAAGTGTACATAAATAGCATCAACAAACACTATTTTAAAAAATTAGCTGAATTATATGCGAATTTTAATTGTTCTCCTTTGTGATTTTTTAATTGTTCTCACTTGTGATCTTTTGATCTTTAATTTGTTTCTTTATCATATTAAAAAAATAGATTACAAGCTGCAATGGGTCTGTACAGAAATACGTCACGATGACGTCAAAATGTGGGCGGAACATCAGAGACACTATTGGCTGCGCCTCGTGTTCTCACCACATTTTGATGTAATCCGTTATCTTCTTACTGAATGGACACACAGCAGGTTTTGTATTTTTGTAATAAACATATCCGACTTACTGAACTTCGGAACCACCCACGGCTAAATATGTACCACTCTGATCAAAACTGAGTGTTTTAACCTGTAAAATAAAGACACAGGCATCACTTCAAGGATTCAAAAAAACGGGCGGGATAAGGTATCAGATCCATTTAACAAATTCTGCGTCATCCATTAGCCGAAACATCAAGGTCCAGCCTGTTTGCTAAAGTTTTGTGAAAAAAATCAACCCATTTTGCAGAAATTTAATAAATACTTAGTTTTATCACTCTTAGCTGTCTCACTCAAGTTGGATTGTCTCACGGGAGATCGCAAAAAATCTCGCCCCAGGTTTCCCGAAGAACCGATCATATTTTTTTCCACAGAACGGTCTCAGTCCCGGCGCTCTTCATTCGCCTGAAAGAGCTGATTCTTGCTTGTGGCTAAGGTCCAGTGAGTTATACCCTTCCACGTGTTATCAATTCCTTCATCAACAATATCGCCAGGCACTCAAAACCCCAACAAACCTCTTGAGTATTTTACACGAAAAAGTGAAAACGGACTGCCCTTTTCATAGAACAGGACCAGAGTGTCCAGAACTAGTTTAATCTGTTTTCATAAATTATCTTTTCCGTGTTCTGTTACGACCAGGTGGTCCAATTTTTTGCCCCTTGTGAGAAATAAAATGTGGCTTAGCTGTGTTTACTCTATTTATACCTCAAATCTATCTTCAAGCGTTATGGTTTTGAAGTTTTTCAGTTTGCGCAAATCCCACAGTTTTACAACTGAGTCGTCCGCAGATGTAGCTAGGTAGTAACTGCAATATAACAGACAGCTGTTAAAACAACCAAAAAAAAGCACAAAAAGGAAACTGAAGACAAAACTAAAGACGAACAATCAAAGCGAAATTTTGAATATCTACCCATTTTCAGAGAAGGAAATATCAGTAATTGGTCCGGAATGTCCTGGAAATTTAGCCACATTAGCACCTTCCTTGAGATCCCAGATCTTTATCACACTGTTAGCAAAAGAGAACAAAAAGTCAGCAAATATTGTGACAACAACACTGACCAGAAGTTTGGCTTTACTGTTTTACAAATAATAAAAGAAAGTTGTCATGATCACTTTTCCCTCGCATCATACATACATGACCACACATTCTGCTTTACATTTCCCCCTTAATATTTTACTTATCCTCCTGACGCGTTCATAATGTAAGAAGAAATGAGACATTAATCAACAAACCTGTCAGTGGTTCCAGTACCAAAAATAAGACCGTCAGGATGAAACTGAGCACATGTCAATCCTGAGGTTAGTAGAAAAACAACATGTTAATAACTCCTAGGGAAGGTTTATGGGGAGTCACTTGTGGTATTACTAGAGGTTAAAAAAAGAAAAAAAAAACCAAAGCAAAGAGAATCAAACACAATTAAAAATCTTGTAATTACCTTGATTGATGTTAGGATCTGATAAACACCTGGTGAGGACATGGCCAGTTCTAAGATCAGAGAAAGCCCAATACTGATCTGTTGAGCAGCTAAGGAGGTAGTCACCTAAAGAAAAAAAATAAGGCACATTGGTGATAGTGTTTGAGTAATTTTAATAAACCATGTGCACTTTAAGTGATTACAATTGTCAAGAAAATATACTCTCATTATTTTGAGTCATGATGAAGAAACAAATCAGGCCTGAAAAGGTTTATTTACTCAATAGAGCAATTTTCAATTGAATGTCAAAAGTAATTTGGAATTGTTTTAGTTTTGCTCTACTTTGCTCTGTGATTAGCCCAGAAAACTAGCATCACTTTCTCAACCAATCAGATGTAAAACTAAAACCAATCAAGCCTTAGTTGCCCACATTTTTCCTTACACTTCAGGCTTAGTTTTCTTTTTTTAACCCTTTAACTCCCATGAGTGACCAAGACTGAATTTCTCCTTACAATACCAATACAAAATGAAGCAGAAAAGTGATGAGAACAAAGAAAAATATCAATTTAGGGATTGTAAGTTGATCCAATAACAAATTCTCCAAACTGACATCACAAGAACTGTATGGCAGACAGTAAGGAGGATTACTAATGAGATCTTGGGAGTTAAAGGGTTAATTTGAAATCTCATTGGCTCTTAGAGGTATTTTCCTTTCTTCTGATTGATTTACTTTGGTTTTGGTTTTAAACACTCAATTGAAAATACTCAGTACTAACAAATCTAGTATGTATACTAAGTCTAACATAATCAACAGATTTTATGGCAAGTAACAAATGAAAGATACCTGTTGCATGGAGACTAAGCCCAGTAACAGCTTGATCATGTGCCTGAAAAAAAAAACCAGAATACTAAGTGTCCAGGATGGAATTCTTCACTCCAAAAGGGCAAACAAAGTGATGAACATTCTAGATTTACCAAGTGGTTTTATGAGACTGGTTATTATAGAATGACAGTTAAGTCTGACATTTACAGTGGACAGGATCCTTTCATGATAGGGAAAATTTCAAGAATATTATCAGCACAACTACTATTAGCTCATGCAGTTGAACAAATCAGTTTTTTTTTTGAGAAGAAAAACTTTCAAACATAAAAGAGCCTATTTATGACATCAGTACCTTAACAGTGTGTAAGCATGAAGCCTGTGGAATGGACCACACCCTGATGGTCGTATCTGCTGATCCAGTGAAACCAAGATCCTGAAACAAATATTGACATCATTTTCAAAGTCACATAGAGCATGACATAACCAAAAATATCAGATTCTTTATGGATAGAGATTCATCACTCTGCATGGAATTGACTGGCAAACACCTATCTCACCTCGTGTGGATGATACACAACATTTGTAACCTTCTTCGTGTGGCCTTTGAGAGTTGCAATGACCTAAAGACAAGATGGTAATTGAAAAGGTTATGATTGTTGTTGTCAGGTTGGTGGGAGTCTTACCCATTTGGTTGCATCATTGTTGGAAATTACAGTTGCATTGATGAAAAATTGAGTTAAGGATGTTTTGTAGAGGGTTGTATTTAATGTTTATGTCAAGGTTATACCTAAACAGATTCAAATTGTACCTGTTCTGAGTCACGATAGAACACCACTGCATTTTTGTCCAGGCCACCTGATGAAAGAGAAAATAGTGACACACTTGTCAACAGCTGTTTCTGTTATTTAATACCTGAAATCTTCACTTTCATTACCCTTTCCATCCAGATATGATTAATATAAAACTTCCCCTTACATTATCAACATATTGTGACAATACCTGATGATTAGAAGAAAAGCAATCCCCAACTGGGGGAAAACAAATCAATCCAACACAAACTTCTCTAAACCAACATTCAAGTTTCATTGAAAAATTCAATACAGACCTGTAATGACTCTGGATGTATCTGCAGCAAATAAATCCAAAGCTAAGATTCCAGGATTGCTTGCACTATGTAAGCCCTAAAATAAGCATTGAAGCCATAATGTTAAAAATAATATATCACCTACTGCACATATTTTCCAGTAACTTATATGAGTAGAAGGCTTTGGGCAGAGTCAATGGGCTGTCTCACAGCCTTACATGATAACTTGGATTACACCACATGAAACCAAAGTATGTTTTTTATTGTGTTTGTGGGGGGAAGAAAATTTTAAGTAGCCTTATCATTGCTTGGTCTAAAAAAACTGTTGCAAGCTTCTCAATGGATGCCAGTTTAAAAACCAGTTCTGAATTTTCTCCATATTTGAAACAAGTTCCAAGAAACAGCTTTGATTTCTGGGCTCTCTGCATCATTTATCATTGTTCTTCTTTGTCCTGATTGGCTGATGTAATTACTAATAGGTTTTGGCTTAGAGAAAATTGTTTGAAATACTCAAATTGTTAAGTATGCTTTAAGTACTTTGGTTTAAGTACATTATCTTTCTATTTTCTCACTCTTTTATTCTATAAAAAAGGTGTCAATTTGAATGCCAACTTACTGCATGTGAGGAGATTGGTTTGTAAGATTGTATCTCATCTGTTGTACTCAAGTCCTCTGGAACCTTCTTGCCTCTCTGAATAGGATAACGGAGAACACAAAATGAGATAAACACTTCACCAAAGTAGTTGACAGCACTTGTCTACATATCACTGATAGTCACCACACAAAATTTGCTAGAGAAGCATTTCATGACAGCGTTTTCTTAGGAAGGTGATTTCTACTGATAGGTAGATGGTAATGGATTTCAACTTTGCCATTCAATCTGTACAATCTTCTTGGCTACATAATCATACTATACCATTCCTTGACTCCTCATATCCCAACCTTTGTCTCTAGAGTTTAGTAACTATATGATTGTCAGAACAGCCACAAAGCTCATACCTTCTTACGTTCAGCTGTGAGGAGAGTGGCTTTGTCTTGCAACTAAAATGAGAACAATAACACAAAATTTATGGTGTCATTTCATAATGCTCAGGGCAGTAATACTTTCGAGGCCTTATCTGTCTATTGAAAAGCTTAAGATTACTATAACACATAATCAAAATGCATAACTAACCAACACAAGTTTAAATAGATCATTTTTTGCTGCTTTTGGCACATTAACAAATTACCCACCCAGTTTCTCAATCTTTCATGTCATTAAGCTTGAAAAATATTATCCAGGCCCAATCGTAAAACATTTACAATAACTTACTTTCTGCAGGACTTCTTCTGTCATTCCTTCTTCTTCACCAGGCTGAAGAGAAAAATTCTAGGCTTAGCTAATAAATGGTTCTTGCAATCAGTTTACAGGGAAATGTGTGGCTGCTAGAGGGTAGGATTAACGATCAGATCTTGGGAGTCAGAGGGTTAAGAGTTTAAAATCTTAAAAATGAAAAGAGATTTCACACACACATATCTTGAAAGTTTGAGTTTGACTTACCTGAGCCGATACATCCATAGCTTCCTCCATCTGAAACAAAAGGCAAAATATGTGTTACCAGTTTAGTTAAAGTTCTAAATAGACACATGCTTGCTTGTTTTTCCACGGAAAAAAAGTTATTGAAAAATCTCTGACTGGATTTGCTCTCTACAATACCTGCACTGGAACAGCTGAAGGAACAGCCACAGCCATACCAGCTTGTGGTTTGAGAGTTGCCAAAGCTGGAGACAAAAGGAGCAGAGTAAGTAACAATGCATTACAATTTTTCTAAATCAATAATTGTAAGATGTATTAGTGGAATACCTTCACGAGCTGCAGTGACTTCCTTTGTCAATCGAGCAATGACACGACAAGCAGCATCATGCTGGTAGAGAGCATGAGACAACTCTGGAACAAACATTAAAAAATCATGTCAATGAAAACAGTTATCTGCAATTCATGCCAAGCTCATTCTGAGAAATGACAGGCTACAATAATCTGACCACTCACAAATGCCACCTTTTTCCCATACTTACCATCCATTGTTTCATAGTATAGAAGTATGAAGTAACAGTTACCTTGTCGGGCAGTCTGAAGTTGCTGACGTAATGTAAAACTTTGCAACATGCAGGCATCCTAGAAACAAAAAAAAGAACATGAATTTGAGGTGTAAATTTTATTTTGAAGATGTTTTCTTTTGTGATGTTTCACCAAGTACTGACTTAAACAGTGTATTTAGGATGCAGTTATACATTTCAGTATTTCTAATCACCAAGAAGGCTATGTGTATAGCAATACAATAACTCTTCAGAACACACAACTTTTACTGTAAAAGGGAATAATTGCAAGCTCTTTATGATAATCTAAAGATTCACTAACGAATGAATTAATGAACCCAAAAGATTTTCAGTCTGTTACAGTTAAACTTATTTTCTTTACCATTGTCAGTATCTGTTAGGGAATTTGATAAAGAAAAGATCCTCTGACTCATGATGCACTTAACAGGTGCACCAGACATAGGTGATTACCACCTCTGAGCATTCAAGTTTAATGCATTTTGCTGAAATTCTTCCTTCCTTACCCATTCATCCTGAAGTGCTTTCAGAATAGCAGGAATACTTGTTGCTGATGGTGGTCTAGGTTTGATCAATGAATTGACTGAAACAAAATTACAAGGTAAACAAGATAAAATAATACAATATGCTATTAGGACGTAAAGACAGCAGAGTGGCAATAATTCTTAATAAAGAAACCACAACTTTTAGTTTGCAAGACATGTTTCGACATTCTTATGTCATCTTCAGTTGTAAATGCGATTTTAACGGTTGTACATTTGAATTTATATGAGATTACGTTACAAATTACGTCATATTGTTCACGTTACAATTTGAATATTAAATACGAAAAAACGTGACATAGCACGCGCCAGATGGGGAAAGAAGGAGAAAAGAAAAATAATGATCATAATAAGAAAAATTATTATGATGACAGAATCAAAAGGAAAGAGACAACTCTATATGCTTCAATTGCTGATTAAGGATGGGTTTGTCCCACTTAATATGCAATGCCTCTTTGATCTTAATTTTGTATTTCGAAGCGGCAGAATCTAAAATGGTGAAACATTCTGTACCACAAGAGTCGAGACAGGCCTTTGATGATTGTAGGTGCTTGTAAATGTGTGAAGTTTTGTCAGACAAGAGGTGCTCACGAACCCGTGTACAGATGTGGCGAGTGGTCTCACCAATATAACTGGCATTACAGCCAGCACATGAAAATTTATAAACGACACGCGAACGTAGACCTGGTGGTACTGAATCTTTCACACTGAACAAGTTTCTGAGCTTAAACGTATTGAAGACTAACTTAATATCTAAATCAGGTCTACAATAACGTTTCAGTAGATGCCTTAACTTGGTTTGAGCGATGTCAGAAAACCGCCCAACATAAGGAAGTTTAAAATAATGCGAAGAAGGGTTTCCGGAGTTTAATGTGGCGTTATGCGTGGGAGAAGGATTATAGCTCTTGGCCAGATGTCTTGAGATAATCCTGTCTATGACGCTGGAAGGGAAACAATTTTTCCGTAGCAAGAAAATAAGTTTTTGTACATCCTTGTGGAAACCAACCCAGGAATTATTGATCTTATATACTCTGTCAACCAAAGTTCTTATTAAACCTAATTTGTACATCATAGGAGTGAAGCTAAAATAATTCGTCAGAAGACCAGTAAACGTCTTCTTGCGGTAGATGCTAGTAATTATGGATGGATTACTGTTGTCAATCAGTATGTCTAAGAACGATAATTTCTCATTAATTTCCTTTTCCATTGTGAAGCGAATACTAGGGTGTCTGGTGTTTAAATAATCAAAGAACAATACCGCGTCCTTCTCATTATTGAACAAACAGAAGGTGTCATCGACATAGCGTCTGTAGAAAACAACTTCAGATAATGAATAGTTGTCTAACCAGGTTTTTTCATGATGTCCCATAAAGAGATTTGCAAGTACTGGAGCAAGTGGGGACCCCATGGCAACTCCATCGATCTGATCGTAAAACACTCCCGCAAACAGAAAACCGGTTTCAGCTGTCGCAAAGGCAAAAAGCCTTCTTAGGTCAGCGGCGTTTATCTTAAGACCAGGGTTACCTTGATAAATATACCTAATCGCAATATCTATGCACTCATCGAGAGGTATACTAGTGAATAAGCTCTCGACATCGAAAGATACCATGAATTTCCCTGAGGTAGATAATTGGTTGATTTCATTCACTAGTATACCTCTCGATGAGTGCATAGTGTTCAGTGTGAAAGATTCAGTACCACCAGGTCTACGTTCGCGTGTCGTTTATAAATTTTCATGTGCTGGCTGTAATGCCAGTTATATTGGTGAGACCACTCGCCACATCTGTACACGGGTTCGTGAGCACCTCTTGTCTGACAAAACTTCACACATTTACAAGCACCTACAATCATCAAAGGCCTGTCTCGACTCTTGTGGTACAGAATGTTTCACCATTTTAGATTCTGCCGCTTCGAAATACAAAATTAAGATCAAAGAGGCATTGCATATTAAGTGGGACAAACCCATCCTTAATCAGCAATTGAAGCATATAGAGTTGTCTCTTTCCTTTTGATTCTGTCATCATAATAATTTTTCTTATTATGATCATTATTTTTCTTTTCTCCTTCTTTCCCCATCTGGCGCGTGCTATGTCACGTTTTTTCGTATTTAATATTCAAATTGTAACGTGAACAATATGACGTAATTTGTAACGTAATCTCATATAAATTCAAATGTACAACCGTTAAAATCGCATTTACAACTGAAGATGACATAAGAATGTCGAAACATGTCTTGCAAACTAAAAGTTGTGGTTTCTTTATTAAGAAATAATATGCTATTAAATTTAAAATTTAAGACCTTTTGAGCAAAACAATCATAACACAAGTATTCTTACAGCATTGTGGAAAAAAGTACACCATAGTAAAACCCCAGCTGAATGAAACTTCTCAAAGAATCAAACAGTTTTACATAATGAGGTTACGAAAGTGGAAACTAAATAAGTGGAAAAATCTTCCTCCGTGAAATGATGTTACTTTAATATGTTGTAAATTACCTTTTATATCAATCAGCTGCTCTTCTGAAAGCTGTTCACCACTTATTGGATCAGTGCCATTTTCCGCAATATACTTTTCAATAAGCCTCCTCTCAAACACGCAGTTAGAAGATGGTGACACACATGGGTGATCAGGAACTTCATTGCTGACTACAAATTGGCAAGGTTCATATAACATTTACTTCTTTAACTTCACTTCAACAAGACTGCAAGTTGTGTTTAATGAAGATTGCAAAGAAAAATTCTGCAATCTACAGTGACTTATCTCACAACTTTGTTTGCCTGTTTTAAAATTACTAAGAGGCCGTTTTCGACATACCCTTCGGTAGTAACAAGCAAAAAGAGGATATAGAGGTAAAATTATCATAATATTTTATGGCACTGATCATCAAGTTAAACCTTGATCGCAATCTAGACTAAGAATTTTTTTCATTCAAATAAGTAGTAAGTTATTATAGCCTCCTTTGCATTAACTGGGTACAAAGTTAATCAACTTTAAGAAGATTATCAGATTTCTGACAGTACGTACAGAAAGGATCAAATTAGCTAGGGCTCACTTCGCACGATCGAGCTTTAACAAGACTCTGAATCCGACAAGCTGACAGTGTAGTGCCGTGAAAACGTGGATTTAAGTGCTTGTGCCTTAACGTTACATCCGAAAACGACATTTCATTCAATCCACGCTAAGCAAAATTACTACGAGTACACCGGCGAAAACAAACATGACATTAGTTTGAATTTCGACATAGCACATCATAACGCACAATAATCAAGGTATAATGCAAAGATAATCAATTAATGTATGTTTGGGGAGTAGGAATTTTAAGATCGAATACGTTTTAAAGCGGTTTTCTAAGGGATTAAGAGAAACTTACTTGAACAGAAGAGCGCCATCTTGTTTCCTTGCAAGCATGTGCAACACCAAAGGACTATGGGATATTACTTAGTCGCCCCAGTCGCGCCAGAGTTCACAGGCAGCCTATCTCATCTCTCACGATGTTGGAAGGAATACCACCATTAATCAAAGTTGGTGATCCTTTCTAAATTTTTAAAAACATTTTTTTGAGTCCTCAGGTTCCCCATAAATCTTAAGAGTCCTATTTTCATGAAACAATATTACCAGGTACATCATTCCTTCTCAAATAGTACATAGGTTCAGCACTCCTAAGTTCTTTTGCAGTGTGAGCAGTAATTGAATGTTTTTCTCCTAGCGCTTTAATGTGAATCTTAACATCAGAATGTCTCAAGTTACATATTCTTAACAGTGGATCAAGAGTCTGTGTACCAATCCAAAATCATGATTTTCCTGACTTTTTGTGAAAGGCCTGATGGGCGTGGCTGAAGTCAGACATATTTGACTGATGACAAGAAATTAGTTAATATGGGAGACCAATTTCCAAGAAAACTCTCCAAATCAGATTCTCATTTTCATGTTTTATAATAATGAGAATAGTATCTGACTTATTCTACAGCCTATTTTGACCTGATTTTTTGATAAAATGAAAATAAATCTACTTCTCAAAGTGATAACCTTATTTATATTTTCTGTCAAAAATAAATTTTGCCTTTGGTCTCCAAATCTTGGACAGTTTTTAATAAAAATGCTAAGAAATTTGTGTCCTTCACAGAATTCCTCACCACCTAACAGAGGAAAAAAAGAACTTCACAAACCAGTCAGATAAAGAAGCAGTGTCTTTATTCCTTTAACACAACATCAAGCAGGTAAGGATGTCAACATCCTCATCCCCTCAAGTTGTTCATATTCTCACCACAAAATTCAAGTCACATTTTCAGTTTTTATATCATAACAGTTTTATGCTACAAGTGTATTCACAGTTTCTATCTATAATGCAATTACCAATTATCTATGTTGGCTATCATCCCTGTATACACATAACTGTACATCTGTACATTTAAGATTTTTACAAACCTTTGCTAAAAAGCTAAAAACTTTTGGCAAGTGACAAGAAAACCTTTACATGAAAAATAAGAACAATCTAAAGTACACATTTAATCACTCTGTCCCTATCATTGGAGACATGCGTCAACTCTTCAATCCTCCATTATATATAATATTGAACCATATAATATTATCTCTCAACAAATCATAAGACTACTTCACTTAAAACATTATAATAACAGAAAAGGGCTCATAGAATTGAAACATATACACACTATTTACATTAAAATGTACATGCTATTTTTCAAAACAAATGACTCGAGGCTTGTTGTGTTGATCAAAAAATTGTGATATATACAAATATAATACAGTTGAATTATTTATTCTGGTCCATTTTGTTGAGATTGCTGCTTATGCCGCCACCCTTTTTCAGGTGAACTCAATGGTGACACAATAATTTTTCCTACATCCTCTACTGCTGTAGACCCATCTGTGTAAATTGTTGCAGGAACCCCCTGGGAGGAATGCCCCCTGTTCATTTGGACCCTTCCTGTGTAAGGAGTCTTGGGTGTTGTAGCTAGTCTTTCATTTGCAGAAATCGGTGGTAAAGGTTCTGGTGCAGCCCTAACCACTACCTGTGGGTCTGGTCTTGTTCCAGTTCTCAGGAACTCTACATAATCATCAGGAAACGGTCTTTCCCTTCCTGCAGAACGCTGCAAACCTTTTGAAATTCCTAGTCCTGGTCTTGAAGGAGAAGAAGCTCGCTTTGGACGCAAGGGCATGCCTTTGGTTGATTTCACAGGTGCTACATTCAGTTGGATTTCATTTGGTGAGGCTTGGATTCCAACAGCTCTTGAAGTCTTCATCTTAGTGCCTAATGACTGAGGAACAGGAGACGTAGTAGACCTGCGATATCTTCGCTGAACATTGGAAGGAGTACCCTCTCTTGGTGGAACAGGTGTTCTTGAAGATGTTCCACTTGAGATATCTGTGTGGGATGATCCATTTTCCACTGCAGTATTACCTTCTATTCTTGCTTCTCGTGACTCCTTAGAGACTTCGGTGATGTTTTTCCCAGTTGAAGGCTGATTTTGATGATTTCTTCCAGATTGTCGTATTTTGCTATTGTGAAGTTGAGAGGTCAGATATGCTATAGTGTCTGATTTCTTTTCAAGTTCCTTTAACACAGCAATCAGATTAGATTCTTTTTCAGATAAATCCTTGACATACTTTTGATCCAGTGTTTTCAGCTGAGCTTCCAGAACCACAATTCTTTTGTTCTTCTTTTCAATAATTCCCTTTAACTCAATGTTCTCAGTCTTGAACTCAGCCAGTACTTTTTGTGACTCATCTACAGTGTGTTTTACTTGAGCTGCAAAATTAAGTAAAGGAAAAAATATAAACATGTTTTTTCCCACCTTTCCTGAATCTCTGAGAGGAAAGAAATTATATTGGTGAAATGATTATGCACAATGTTAGTCTTGAATTTCCCTGTGGCAAACCACCTTTGAACCCAAAAGATTTAGTGGCATGACAGGTACAACTGCAAGTATGGGATGATGTCAAACACTACTGATTCTCAAAGATTGGGCATTTGCCCAATAAAGGGGTGAAATTTGCAACCCATGGTAGAATCCAATTTTAAACCAAATTTTCGCATACTTTCAAAGCCTACTTTTAAAAAAATAACATATTACGAGAACTGCATCTTAAGGAACTTCACCATATTGCTGGTATTTTATCGACAGAAGATCAAAACTGGGTGAGATTATAAACTAGAAAGAAATGGCATAATAATGAAGCAAAATAATAAAAGACAGAGCCATCAGTGACAAATTTACCGGCAAATCTGTCAATTTACAGAGTCTCTTATCTGACCTTACCAACAGAAACTGAGAAATGTCACATAACAAGTGTTGCAAATATTAATTCAACCAATGAGACGAGATTATGCGGTAAAATTAACAGGGTAAATTCTTACAAAAGTAGTTTTCACTCAAAAATAATTTATAAGACCAAGCCAAGAGATAACATCTGTTCTGTTCTATATAAACACAGACGACTGTTAGTTGGATAGATATTACATACCTTCCTCGTCATTTGCAGTTGTAGCGTTCATAGCCAGTTTGAAAGTTAGTTCTGTAAGAAAATAAAATGTTATTCCCACGAAATCAGGTGTTAACTTTACCATATTAACGATATCTACCTCCACATTTCTTTTGAAGCTTATTGATCTCCGCATAGAGTCCCTGTAATGTTTTTGCGTGTTCTTGTTGCATAAAGAGGAGAGAACTTTCAGCATTTTGAAGCTGTACACGAGCCTGAGCTAGCGTCCCAGTCATTCCTATAGTCCTGTCGGTGTTTAGCTGCGATCAAACGGATATAACAGCACGTCAATCCACCCTTTCACTTTCGTTGACCATCAATTCCAAGATGGCTGCTTCCCCGTTGCCACGAGCAGCAGAACAAATATTTCCTGACAAAACCGGTTTGGTTTCGTCACAAATATTCTTACGTCATGGGTCAATAAAAGACCTGACTTCATTGGCTATCAAGATGTAAGCTGAGCCAATCAAAGATACTAATCCATTGTAAAGGAATAATTGAGTCGCGATTCCCAAACTAACAGTTTGGTAGCGCGAAAAGAAGAACTAGATTTATTTCGATTTTTAATATATTCAAATCTGTCCTAAACTCTCTGTTTGTTTTGTGGGATGAGTTCTACCTCCCAGAAAAGCGGTGTGGTAGTTTGGGAGTGGGAGGAAAGACAGGGTCTCTGGATTCCTTACCAAGCAGATGTTGTTGAATACTTGGAAAAGAAGTATTTGAGGTTAAAGCAAAGGGTATCCAAAAAGTCCACCGTAAGTTTGGGAAAACACTTCTTTGGTTTACTCTCCTATGAAGTTGATCTTGTAAATATGGAACAGCAAAGAACGGAAACAGGTGAGAGCTCACGTGGTATACTTGTTCTTTTAAAATTTCGCCAATTTCCTGAACGAAGGTTAACGAACCCAAGAGCTGCTCATCTCGGAAACCGGAAGTAAATTGAAGCTCAGCTTACAAACTTTGGCTGAGTCACATAAAATTGTAATTTTGGATGAGACCCTTCACCCTTAAGTGCTGTCAGTACGGTGCAAAACGAAAGGAAAAAATGAGACATTAAGGGGGAGTGGGGGCAGATTATCATGGACAAGATGTTGTTCTGTTTGTTTACACACAAGACTTGGAACTATTCCTTTAAAGTGTGCCTCGCTTTCCATGAAGTTGGTAGAAATCTTCAGGCCAATTTTGAATGTGGAAGTTTCTAATGAATTATGTAATAACTTCCTCATAAAAATGGGAAATAGTTGTGGAACGAATTTTTGGTTTGCAGTTATTTAGTAGTGAAAGATTTTCCAACTTAAAAAGCCAAAAGACAAGATAGAGAAAGAGGCTTCCAGAGGAATTGTGTACAAGATCAAATGTAAAGATTGTAATTGTGTTTATGTTGGTCAGACATCATGCACACTAAAAGCATGCATGAAAGAACAATTCTTGAACCTTGGCATTTCATGTGAGACAGAAACACTATAAACAAACACATAATGCTACCAAACATATACAATAACATTAAGAATTTTTAGAGCCATTAAAAGTACCGTAGAGACTATTGTTACACTTAAAAATTCCTTCAAGATTTAGCTTTATCACACATCGTGGACATATACCAAGCAGGACGCCGTTAGACATTTGCATTTTTATCTTTGCTGAAGAAGGCAACAGTAGTAGCTGAAAGGTTCAGAACAATATATTTTTTAGCCAGTGTCAACTTTTTTTTATTCTTTTTATCAAAATTTTTATTCAGTAGTAATCATGGTAAAATTATTTGAATGTAGGGGACTAAAGATGGCAGTCTTGTTGGTGATTTTAGCTGACTAATAGCTCTAATACACAGCTCTGCCCCCACAGTACCACCCCTAAACCAGAGGTTAAACCCTTCACACTGCAACATCAGTATCTTTTTTCTCTTATACTATACATTTCCTCTGGTACTGACAAGGAAAATTCATGTAGGTTGGCGATCATTTCCTTTAACCTTATGATCTTCATCAACAATTCAGCAGTATTACTGTAAGGAGAAATTAGATGCTCGTCACTCTTAAGGTCTAAAAGGAGTTCAGACTAATACCCAATCCAAGGGGAGCAATAGTACTCTCAGTGGATCATGCCACACAAACTGGGAAAAAGCCTTGGCAGTCACCTCATTCAACAATTCTATATATTTGAATTCCAGGGAGATTAAGAAAGGTCAGGAGAAATGTTTATCAAAGCAACTCAGTACCAGGATGTGGAATAAGATGGGAGTGGTATAATGATATAGTTTGGGTTGCATATGACATTCCAACATCAGAAGTAATTGAACAAGCATACAAGTCTAATATGCCAACATTGGATTTGTCACACACACCTGTTGCAATTCCAAATTATGTGTACTTTCGAGGGCATATCATAAAACAGGTCAATAAACATACACATTTTGAAAGAGATGTGAAGAGATTAACACACCAGAAGTATCCAAAGGATACCCTGGCCTTGAAAACTACTGGGGCATCCACTAACAGCAGAGGGAATACCTTGACCTCCATGAATGGCCGGTCGGCCTCTAAGCATACCACACCTTCAAAATCCACTGTTTCAAGCACAAGACAAAGTGTGAAAACCAGTGGTACTGTGAAGAGAATGAAGAAGATGAAAGTTGAAGATTCTCAAGGTAAAGAAATCAGCCTTTGCTATAATTTTTATTTTTTCACTTGATTTCTATGATTACTTCCACCCAGGTTTTTGTGGAGTTGGGGCTAAGCCTAATGCATTAACCCTGTCAGTCTTGTGCTCTAAATTTCAATTCTGTATACTATCTCCTGTATATTTCAAAAGATTTTATTTCTGAGAATTTTGTGTTGAATCAGACAGTGTCTGCTGATTGATATGTATCTATCTTCTTAACACACTTCTGCTCAAAACTTTATTGATTTGTAAGGAGAAATTCCATTTTGGTCACACCAAAATGTTTTGGGAGTTAATTAGTTAGTAAGCCCTCAGAGGACTTATTGATTTCCATTTACCTCTAAAGATGGGGGTTTATCAGTGGGGGTGGGAGCTGCACCTTATTTAAACCCCATTGATGAGGGCATAAGTCCAAGAAATAGATGACTAATTGATGCAAGGATCAGTTACATGAAATACTCTAATGCCCCTTTCAGAAGGTTTATCTTTTTCCACAACCTCCTGACAGGAACTTATCAGAGTGTGGGGCTCTTAACCCTTTAACCGTTAAGGTCTGATTGTTAATTCTCCCCTCCAGCTGTTACACATTTCCTTGTAAATAAGTTATGAGAATTTGGTGTTTGATCAAGATAACAACTTCTACCTGATATATTTGAGTATTCTCATAACCTGTTTGCTGGATAGTGCATGGATATTGTAGGGAGAAGTTACTTGTTAATCACTTCTGGCAGTTAAACTCATAGATGGGAGCTAAAATGAAAGCAATTGACAATTATTACAGGGTTTGAGTACTACTCTTCATGGACACTTAAAGGTGGTGTGGGGTTATTTGAAAGTTTTTTACTTCTTTCTCCAGATGTTGGTGCAACAGCTGCGGATCCCCTTTCTGAATTCTGTAATGACTTAGCAACAGCTCCAGATGAGGTATTTAACAATTAGTTGTACTAGAGTGTAGCTGTTAATTTTTTCAACAATCTATTTGCCCATCCATTTTTGGTAGAATCCAATTTTCTTATCATTACTTTGCATTGAAGTTTAATTTTTTGTTTGGTAATACAGGTTTTCTTCTACTTTTTGTTATCTACAGGATTGTGCTATTTGTTTTGAAAAGCTCTGCAATGTCTCCTCATTTGACGACGAAACTGAAGACAGTGGAAAAGCACAATCTTCAAATATCAAAGAGTTGAGCCAGTGCAAACATGCATTTCATGCCTCTTGTCTCCAAGCAATGTATGACAGTGGACCCAAAGTAAGATAGGGAGATATATCACTCACAGTGCTTCCATTTTATAGTTATACTCCATTGTTTTTGAATTACAATTGGGAATAGTCTCTCTAGACCATTTTATTTTCTCTCTCTAACTAAGCCTAATTATGTCTGGTGCTTTCAATAAGACCCAGTACCTGCTAAAGCTCCTGCAGATATTCTTTTGTGAATTGCTGGGTATAAGTCAAATTTACAGAACCAAAAAAATTAATTAAGTAACAGAAAAAAATTGGCGGTCAATTTAGTATTGGAGTACTCATCTTATTTATTTTCAAATTCTGAGGTCTTTGATTGTTTGATTTGTTCTGTTCACAGGTGGTTTTCTGTTTCTGCTTGTTTCATGTGTTCAAAAGGATCAATTGGTCAATGTTGAAGACTAATAAAGAGTGGCCAAACCAGTTAGATTTGTTGTCTGAGAACTGATTATGCCTTGTAAGTTTTTTTTTTTTTTTTTTTTTTTTTTTTTTTACCTTTAATCATAGGATGGAAGTCTGCAGTGCCCGACTTGTAAAGCAATTCACGGCATTAAACATGGTAATCAGCCTGAAGATGGTGTTATGGATGTCACTTACTCGCAAAGAAGCCTTCCAGGCCATGCTGACTGTGGAATGATCACAATTATATATGACTTCTGCAGTGGAATACAGGTATTATTATTATTATTATTTATTTTTTATTATTATTATTTTACCCCTTTTAATCTGTGATTGTCTATTCATCTGGTCTTTCCTTGTGACAGTTTGTATTAACTTTTTAATCGAATTCCAATTTTCAATAATCATTGTCATCTTGGGAAATATCACAACTGCCTGAAATGCAGGAAAATGCAGTTGGCCAAGATGTTTTAATCCTTTAACTACCATGAGTGACAAACACAGAATTTTTCCTTATAATGTCAATACAATATCAAGTGGACAAGTGATGAGTGATGAGAATAAAGAAAAATATCAATTAGGGGATTAAAAGTTGATCCAATATTAAATTCTCCAAACTAACATCACAAGAGCTGTATTGCCGATGGTTAGGAGAATTACTAATGAGATATTGGGAGTTTAAAGGTTAATTTTGATTGGTTGGGAAAGTGGAGCAAATTTTTTAGAACAATCACCAAATGAAGTAAAGAAAAACCAAAGACATTCCAAATTACTTTTGACACTCAATTGAAAATTGTTCCATATTTTTTATTGATTGTTTTGTTAATCATAGGGACCAGAACATCCTAATCCTGGGAAAACATACAGTGCAAGAGGATTCCCACGAACATGTTACTTGCCAGATAACGAGAAGGGGAAAAAGGTAGTTTGCCTAACATATTCATGCATGTGCTCTGTTGCAGTCTGTATACATGTGAAATATAACACTGGACCTGAAATAATGCAAAATGTGTCTTTAGAGAGCACTAGTTCAAATTTAATCAAATTGAAACTTTTTTGGACAGGTGTTAAAGCTCTTGAGGAAAGCTTGGAAAAGAAGATTAATTTTCACTATTGGTACTTCCTCGACAACTGGAGAAGATGGTACAGTTGTTTGGAATGAAATCCACCACAAAACAGAACCATTTTCAAACCATATGGGACATGGCTTTCCAGACCCAAACTATCTGGACAATGTTCTTGCAGAGCTGGCAGCACAGGGTGTCAAAGATGATGTAGAAGTCACTGTAATATAATACTAAGTAACATACTACAAATTGTGTGTGTAGTCTTGTCAAACTTTGATTTTCTTAATATAAACAAATAATTGTTGTTGGAAAAATAGCTGTGTTCTGGTTATGAATCAATTTTTTCCCTCTGTTTTGTTTCTAATATTGTTATAACTATCGGTGATAGGTAATATATTAACTGATTTTGTAACCAATGTATGGGTAACAGGGTAAGTTAGTATCATCAACAGAATTGATAACAAAATTGGCCTCTGTAAAGAGTTTTAAAGCTGTGAGATAGTTTTTAGTAATTTGGGTGGAATTAACCTTGGGGAAAAAACATAACTTTTGAGGGACAGAGATAGCCCACTCTTTTTGCAGGAAGTTAATGTTATAATTTTATTATGGTTTAACCCTTTCTATCTTAACATCAGTATACATATTCTCCATACCGTTCTTTATACATTTCCTATGGTGCTGACAAGGAGAATTTGTTTAACAATCAAAAGCTTCTACAGATGGAGATCATTTCATTTATTCCATGACCATACTGTTTGATTCAGGAGTGATATTGTAGGAAGAAATTAGATGCTAGTCACTCTTAGGTTTCAACAGTTTAACATCTTTGAAAACAATTTCATTTTATTTTTCTCTGATTTATATTTATTAACATAATTGCAATATACGTAATGTGCTTTGAAAAATTTTTAAATCAATAAGGCATTAGAACCACAACATATAGTATTCCCTTTGTGACTGGTAAGAATGAAAAAGGATGTTTGTCTACTAATCATGACTACAGATTTGAGCCTTACTTTTTTGGTATTTTCTTAAAATGAATCAGTCATGCATATAGCACCTGGGAAAGATTGAGTAATTTATTTGAAGTAGGAAATAATAATTATAGTGGAAATAGGTAACAAACATAATACCTAATTGAAAAAACATATTGTCAAGTTTTACTATATTGTGTCTTTTTTTCCCCTTGGAACACTATGGAAAACACTACATACCAAAGAAATAAAATTCTGGTTGAGACAATTTCAGTCATCAATTTTTTTTCTGAGGTGTATTCTCAATATCAGCTCAAAGGGACTGAGAAAGTCGGACCTTTTGAAAGGAAATACCTCTGGTTAAAACTTCATTTAAAAGACTAAAGAAAACCAGTAGTGTACCACTCCAAAATAGAGTTGCAGATTAATTGATGCTCCTAATTTAAACATGGAAACTTAATTTTTTAATGGCCCTTTCGGTATTTCATTTTAAATGAAACCAACAATTGTGACGTGGAAAAGTTATGGTATGTCTGCAACGTGTGAACGCGGTGGGAACATGAATGCAAGTGCTTCCTTTTCCACTGCTGTGATCTCTGGATGCCATAGGTCTACCATGAGAACAACTCTTTCACTGTCCACGCCTTTGTGCCACGCTTCATGAAGAAAAGAATCGTCAAACAGCAAAAGTTCTCTTTCATTCCACATTCTTTCTTGGCCGTTCACACACAAGCGACAATTGTTCGGAACATAGAGAGGCAAATGACACCTTATCCTGCAATTTGTAGGGCCGTAGTGAGCAGTTATGTGTGTTCCAGCTCGAACAACTGAAAACAATGCATTACCAAATGAGCAACCTTCTATAATCAATTCTACGGATTCGATGATCTCTACGCTTAGCGGGCACTTCCTGCAGTTGTTAACAACTCTTTCCCCTTGATTTATCAAGTGATATACTAACCAGTCCCCTTCGGGTGTTGAATTCTTTACCCATCCCTCATCACTTGCGTTAAATCGGATTTGGTTGAATTCTGACCGTATCATTTCAAAGTTCTCGGAGCAGACCAAAGTTGTTAGTTGATCTGAGAGGAAGTCATGCCAAGGTCTGCCAGACAATCCGTATAGATAAAACACTGTGGGTTTTTGTGCAGATGAGAAATTATTCCTCTTCTTTTGTGTCCTGTTGTATTCGATTGCTTTGTACAGGCGATCAAGTTCACCCTTGTCCGATTTTACCCGTGCAAACTCGTCCAGTTTTGTCAACAATAGTTCAGCTGTTTCCGACGGCGATTTTGTTAACTTGTGAGAGCATCGGAGGCATTCCGAAGATCGACAAAAATTTGTATCAACTAAGTTTGATATATGGCTATCCCTTTCGTAACTGAAAAATTTGGTCAAAATTGTTGCAGTAAATAGCACAGCTACAGCTACCAGTCCTTTAAAGATAAAATTGAATACAAAGGAAGAGATTTGCCAAAGATGCTCTTCTTCGTCCGCCATGTTTGTTTTGAAAGAAGTGTAGTACCAGTCTCTTCGCTGAAATCAATTGACCAACGCAGTTACGCATTTGGCAAGTTAACATCACAACTCTTGCGATCTGTGGTTCCACATGTTTAAGATTTATTTCGATGGACCTTAAAATAAATGTGTGAGACCTTCCCTATTTTTTATAATCGCTCTGTAACAAAAGATTCCTAATCGCAAGTATTTATCTTGCGCTCAACTGCTCAGTTTCTCCGTTTCTTTAACGGCGAGCGATTGGAAAGGCAGATCCAACCATTGAATTGGGAGGCCACTTATTGTCATCTCAAACTATGCGGTTAAGACTTGAAGTAAGTGCTCAGAGAAATATTCTCCAGTTGCAGCTGCCATAACCATCACAAAATGTTATTACCTGTAACTCCCTAATTAGCAAAAAGCGCGCGCATTTAGGGTCATTTATTACGTCGTTAATAAGAAGCGAAATCTCCAATGATTTAGAGGTTGTCACCATGACATATTATCAACAATTTGTTTGACGGCGAGCTGAATTCGAGTTACTTTAAACCCATGGATGAAGGTCATACGTCTTTTGTGCTCCATGATATGCCAGATTCCATAATATTACAGATATTCTGTCAATTTACGATCAAAGAACGCCTTTTGTTGCGACGAGTATGTTGGAGGTGGCACCACCTTTTGAAGGACTACAGCGTGTGGAGGAGTATCGATCTTAGTGAGGACTGCTCCCTATCGAGTAAGGTCAATAAAACCATCCTGGAAGGTTGGATCACAGCCTGGGGTAAGACTATTCAGCATATGGATGTTAGCGACTGCAGGTGGCTTACAGATCTCGTTATTCAAAAAGTCGCGCAAAATTGTGCGGATCTCCGTGACTTAAACGTGGAAGGCTGCTTCCAAGTATCCGACACAGGAATGAACGCGATAGCCTCAAACTGCAAGCGCTTAAAGAAGCTAAACGTTTTTCTTAGCGGGGTGTCGGAACAAGGTTTTGAGAGATTTTTAAAGCAGTGCCCAAACTTAGAGGATGTTAAGTTGGGGAGTAGAGGAAATTGCAATCGTATGATAGTGTCTGTGTGTAGTAGTGTGAAAGATTTAAAAGCAATCTCCATTCATGATGTTATCCCGTTTGACGAGGGCGAACCAGTGGTAGATGACCTTTCGCTGTGGAGGCTATGCACTTGTTTCCCAGGGTTGACAGCCATTGATCTTACGTGGTGTTGTTTCATCACTGATGATGCTTTATTTGCACTTCCGTTTTGCTGTCCAAATCTCAAGTCTCTCACTTTTCGGGAATGTCATCAAATTTCAGACCGCGGAGTTCGTGCCGTGTTCCAAATTTGCCATTTAACCTTGTCAAAAGTACACCTGGAACGTCTTTACAGCATCACAGACGTTCTTACTCTCTCACCGGAAGACCTTAAACCTTTTCCTAATCTGTCATACCTTAAACTGATCGACACATCTATTTCCGACATCGGCGTCGCGAAGATTGCCGAGAAAAGCCCGAACTTACAAACTCTCATTGTTGGAGAGCATTGTTTTAATCCATACAACATCCATGGTGGTTTTATTCCCACCATCGCAGAAACTTGTCAAAAGTTGAGACGATTCAAATTATATTCAGGAAGAATGAAGGACAATTATTTGATTGCTATTGGCGAAAATATACCTTTTATAACCGACCTCTATCTCGGCGATTGTCGTGACTGTACATCTCAAGGGTTAGAGAGGATAATTTTGCGCTGCCGCTGGTTGCAAATATTGCACATTCTAAACTGTTCCCATGTAACCAATAAGACACTGGTTCTTATCTCGCGGAACTTGACGGATCTCAGAGAATTAGAGATTCTAAATTGTAGGAGTATCACCACATTAGATGTTCTAGGACTCAAACAAAAGTTACCAAGGTGCGACGTCCGGTATTAACTGTGAGTGGATAGCACTAAACTCCAAAGATGAATGCTTCGTATTTGCCTCTTATTCATTCGAAGAAGATTTGCAAGGAAAATTTTGGGTTCCATCGAAGCATTCTTTGTCACCCAAGTTAGCACTCTTGTGTTGCGCGTGTGAGTGAAACAATATCCTAATTCATCCAAGAAGCGGCCCAGAAGAGTTGTACGTCGATTACAGTGTGTGGAAGAGATATCGAGAATCATGTACCCTCAGATTTTCTGAGTTAATGCATTGTCATGGTAAACTACGAACAGTTTTCTAAGAGTAAATAAGAAGTGGCAAGATTTTCATCAGGGGTATGCGCCTTAAGTCTTTCTTTGTTCTAAAGATATCACTTCCCTTTATATTGGAAGCAAACGACCCAATTTGAAAGACTTCATCGAACTAAAGTTATACTTCACTTCTATAATTAAACTTTTTTGGCGGTCTCAGTCTTAGTTACCGGACCGACCTCTACTATGTGGTTTTAAGAATGGACAGCTACTCCCAAGATCTGAAGCTGACTAATTCTCCATTCGGAAGTTCAATCGCTTTCTGTGGACCTTATTCAGGTATCAAATACAAGCAAGATATGTTTTCAATTATAATGACTTTAATTAAATATTTGCTTCCAATTCCACAATAAAAAATATATTACAAATTTCTTTGAAATTGTCATATTTATAATTATTCTATAAATTATTCTGTTAAATATACAATGTACACACGAATTTCTCTATTCAGTCAAAACACTCTTATCTCAAAGCTAAAACAGAAAAAGATGGAGAAAGGTTCAAAGCTTTGAAAGATAAATCTGTGGCCTTTTAAAAACACGATCCACCATAGCACTGGCTTCAATAGCACAGCCCCATGAGAAAGTCACACCCGAGCCCCCATGTCCATAGTTGTGCAGAAGAGAAGGACACACAGGATCCCACTCCAGACGAACGTTACCATGGCGAGCAGGACGCAGGCCTACCAACACTTCCTCTACATCATCGTCTCCATAGTTACGGAGGGGTGGATAGAACTCCTTTACTTTCTCAAACATTTTTCTGATTGGTAAATAATCAAGTGTCAGATCTCTGTCCCACTGATGAGGTTGTACCATTCCACCTAGCCACAATTTGTCGTCACCTCTCGGTAGAATGAACACGAAGCTTTGTCCTTCTTTATCTGACTCATCGAACTCCTTGATTATAGAGATGCACATGGAGTGATTGAGTTTGGGCATCAAACTACCGTCGTTTCTCACTTTAAGAATCACCCCTGGAATGACAAAATGTAAAGAGTTATCAGTAATCGAGGCCAAAACCCAATTCTTATCAATTACAATCGGCCCACATAGGATGCCCAACATATATGATTTAGTAGGACATACACAAGTTATTTACCTCTTAGGGGGTAGACATCTTCATCTCCTGCCAGTTCTTTGGCGTTAAGTCCGGAGCAGTTGAAGATCAGCTGAGCTTTGTATTTCTTTTTCAAGTCTTCTGCCTGATCCCTCAACAATCCGTGAATCTCATCGTGTACAAAGCGACAGCCTTTGTCACGACACTGTTTGTAAAGCCACTGCATGTAGGTGACTGTGTCAACCATGGGAGCCATATGTTGATATGCGTCCACAACACCAGTGTCTGTGTTCACACCTGAAGGAGAAAAAAAGCGCCCTATTAATTTAATGGTCTGTTTAGATGCCTTGCATATCTACTTCGTTTGAAAAAAAAAAGATTAAGAATAGTGAGAAAATGTTTGCTATGATCTAACTTACCAGTTTCATCGATGAGTTTGGCGTCATGGCGAAATCCTGGCAAATGATTGAGCTCATTCATCTTTTCTAACTGTTGAGGCAGATTATTCACCTAAAGAAAGAGAGAGAAAGAGTAAGATCGAGAGAACTATTCAGATTTATCAGAGTCTAATAGTAACAATAATAACAAGACGATACGACGGATAAGAATATGCGGCAAATGTGGAGTTACCTTGTCCTTAAAGTAGAATATAGATTGTCTGAGGAAAGCTCCAGTTTCCTTCGAGTTCATAGCCAACTCCATGAACTTGGCATAGCCATCCATGCACCAAACCTTGGCTCTCTCCAGTGACTTTTCATTTGTGTGTCGCCCACAGACCGCTGGAGGCCACTCCCATAGAGCGCCAGCGATCTCAGAAGTGATGCGTTTACCGGAGGAGACTGGGGAGGCGTACTCCTTTGCTAAAACTGTCACTTTGTACCTATGAACGGTGAATGATTTAACAACATTAAAGAACATTTTCATTGCATCTTTATTTAAAAAAAGCCGCCTAAAGAATCGTCCCTATTTACTCTAGAGTGGACAGGTTTAAAACCAAATTCTGTTTGTATAAAATGTGGATTTACTTCATTTTTTTTCCACTATGAGAATTCTTTGCAAGAAATGGAATGGCAGTATTTCGTAATCGGATTTGAACGCTGGTTTTTTTCCACTTGAAAATTAACTGTAGCCGTATTCACCAGCCTGTTTTGAGATCTTAGAAATCATCCTAAATAGCTGTGCGAATTGCACAAAGCCAGTAGCATTTATAAATATTTTTCTTTTTCTGAGCTCTGTGCTTCATGTTGTCAGTGATGGCTGCAGAGACAAATTTTGTCGCGTTTTTGCCGAAAAATCAGGAACCAAGCTTTCGTAACATGAAAGCCGCAAAAGTTCGCGGAAATGTCGCATATGCCTCGCATGATTGGGCTTTCACTTTCCGCTTTTGTCGCTGATCTTGTATAATCTTTTAATAGCCGGAAAAAATTTAGTCTAATTTTCAACTTACCCTTTATTCAACAACTGCAGAGCACTGGTCATTCCAACAACTCCGCCTCCAATAATTAACACACGAGGAGCTTTCTGAGAGTTCTAGAATCCAAGGGAGAAAATTCAGAAAATAGTTTCTTTCTTTATCTCCGTCAGGGCGGGATGTCTCGGTGGTTGATGTGCATTTTCAATGTAAAAAGTATTAATCTGATATGTTCTCCTAAATTTTCTTCATTTTTATCGAGTATTGACTAAGAACAATCATTTACCCTAATACAAAACAGTTCCTCGAAAAAATCAGATCACATACAGGTAATTCATCTTTTTTCCCGTAAATTCGTGCTCATATGTTAGAATCCTTACCTTGAGTTTCCTTGTGTTGTCTAAAGTTCTTCCAAACTGGAGAGCCATAGTCTTAAAGGTTGCTTCTAGAAGTTAAGATTACTTCTCAGGTATGTCTTCAGTGCTTTCTGTTTTCTAGAGTCTTCAAGCTAATGTTGTCCCTTTTGCCGACATTTTTCCCATTTTATAGCCATTTCAAACAAGGTGATATTAAAAATTCGGAAACAGGACAATTGTTCTTCCTTAATGACTGACGTCAGTGATTCATGAGGAATATTTGATGGGCAACATGTACTGAACTGACGCAAACTAACTTACGCGACAGTCACGTTCACTAATGAAAAATTACCTCTATCGTTTTTTCGCGCTCGTTAACGTCTGGGCGCAATTTTAAGTCGCTTTAGATGACAGATTCTTCTGATCAAATCATAGATGATGTACATAACGTGTTTATATTTGCGAAATTCATGTTAGCCAAAATCGGCGAATCCACACGTATTCCGTCAAAGCATGTCTTGGACAGTTTGACAATTAATCCCCCCTTGATGGATGATAAAATGTTTATCTCTGTATCCAATGCATTATTTCCTCCCACAGACTGCTAAGCAAACGGAGTGGAAGAACGTGACTGACCGACTGGCCGGTTTTTCCTAACTGCCACGTCCATGGCAACAGACGTGACAGTCACACAGCACAGAGGTCACGGATTGCAAGTCACCTAATCAAGTATTACCTACAACGTCAGAAACGAGTTCTTTTGCTTAAATTGTTGTTTTTCATTCCACTTTATACGGCCTTAGACCCTTTAAAAGAAGGAAAATACCGAACAAGATCACATCGAGAGTTCAAACTATTCAAAGCTTTCAAGTTGAAGTTGGTGACTTGAGCCAAAAGCAGAACAAATTGATTTAGTATTCGTGATTGAGTGATAAATTTCCGGCTGATTGACGGCAAAACGTGTTCATAGATTTTTCCTCCGGCAATCTATCGTTCGCAAAAAGGTACACATTGCGTATTTTTTTTCTACCCTAAAAAAAGAAAATTAACAGTCCGGATATACAAGGAAACTTTATTCACTCTTTGTTATTGTCCTTTCAAAAAATCTTTAATTATTTTGACATCTTTACATACTATTGTCACCGGGTGACGTGAGTGTTATCACAGCTTAACTTGCCTCATATAAATGACAAAGCAGTTTGATGTTTTTATTTTTTTCTGTGTCTAAGAGATTGGATAAATTCCTCAATCGCTATATGTGACGTTTAATATTCTGATTGTAAGAGAAATAGCTCATTGGAACATCCTGATATTAATCAACGTGGCATTCTCATCTATGTTTTATTTTTGCATGCGTTACGTCTTACTTCCTTTAGCAAATGGCCCCGAGTTGGGTAGCTGTGTAGCTCTCAGCATGGAGTAGCGAATAGCTTAGAACACAATTTTTTTAACAATTTGAAAAAGCCGTAACTTAATTCAGGGACCGAAAAGCTTTTCAGGTAATTCCAATTGAGACCCAGGTTGGTCCAGCTAAAAGAGTCAGAATATTTGTCTTTGCTGTTAAGTTAAGACTCTGACGTAGTGTCAAATCTTTCCAAATGCTACCTGTTTTCACGCCCGAACACGGAGCCACTTACAATATAACAATTATCCGCTTTTGAGTCTATAGGTTTGCGACTATGCTCTTGTCAGAGAACCAAGACTATAATATAACAAAACACTCGCGCATGAAAAGCCGAGCAAAATTAGACAGAATATTACGCCTTAAGGAACCAAACAATATCCAACAATTTTGATTCCTTGGAGGACAATAGCAATGACTACAACGGCAATGACGACTTAAGAGATTTGTAGAAGAAAAAAAAATGAAGCAGTAAATGACGAATAAAATGTAGAAAAAAATTCAGTCTAAATAGTGATGAAAACCCTAAATTGGTAGGACTGTATGCCCCATAAAAATTTTAAACCAGGTCTTTAGATTTAAAATAACTTTTGCGTGGTGCTTAATTTGAGTATAATTTCATTTTAATCCTTATATTCTTCAAGTCACGAAAGCGTTTTTTTGCTAACCCAACGGTCTAAAAAGTACAAGAGATTTTGGTTTTGCCTTATACAATGGGCTAGGCTGTACGCAAGCTGGCAGTAAACCAATTGATTTTTTGCTCCACTGTTGGCATCTAATCAATCCGCTAACAACAGATTTTCAAGAAGCATACTTAATTAATAAGCCCCCGTTCAAACTGGGCCCACGCACCTACATTTTATCACTTGCGTGTTCATGTATCAGTAACTTCTATATGATTAGTGATGAGAATTCGGAAATGCAGATGGTGGAGGCGGTTTTTTCACGTTTTCTTCCAGTAAAATGCTATTTTTCTTTTTCTTTTTATTTTCGAGCGTTACACACGGAAATGAACTCATGACCTGTAACAGTTTACCAACTTATGTTTTTTTGTCTAGTCTCCACAGAAGAACAGCAAACTCCTTTTGACGCTATAAAGTAAACCTAGTGATCGTTCGCTCTGAGTCGAGTATACCTGATATGTCAATTTAAGGTCGTTTGACTCACCGCCTCTTGTTGGGTGGGTTTACTTCCGATGATTTAAATTAGCAGTTTGACGACACGTTTTCTATTGATCGATATGGGCCAGATTCATTGAGGCAAAACGGGCTGTATCTAACGATTTGATTGCGAGCCATCTTAGATCAAATTTGCCTCAAACTTGATAGGCATTTTCATTACGCCCCTCAAAATCTTTTCCCAACACAGGAATACTAAAAACTCATTGCCCGGAAAGCTGTCGCAGCCGGACAGCCTTTGCTCCAGGTTATCACGCAACGTTCGTGCTAGGTGCCTAATGTCATGCGTAATGCATAAATACGTGACTGGTGTATTGTGTGACAACAAGTCTGTTGCTATGGGCGAATAGCGTCTTCGAGGAGTCCACGTGGAAATGACGGGTCTGTCAGTAAGTCACGTTCTCAAATTAACGTTTTCTGAGAATTTTTGAGTGAAAGTAACATATCGAGAGAATATACATAGATGATAATTTCGTCCCCAATCCAGAGAGACTGAGTCGTTAATGTGTCGGTAGTTACCTAAGGCTTCTTTGCGAAAAAGTCACGTATTAGATACCTGCGACTTTGAAGATTTTAGCTGTCAGACAGTCCCCTCTCTCCCCTCCCCCCTCCTTAAAAAGAAAAAACAACAGCAACAGCTTTATATATAACTTAATTCAAAATACCTCCGATAGACACCGAACCTCTTTCCCACAAGAAACAGCTTACATCAATACATGTACTTTTTGACCTTTTTTTCCAACTTTTTTTAATGTGTGTACAGTAAACGTGACTTTGCCTATTATATGAGTTTGTCTGCGTCAGCACATGTTGCCCAGTCATGCATATTGACGTCACGCGTTCATAGAGAAAGGATTGCTCTATTTCCGAATTTTTCGATGCCCCCTTGTGTGACATGTCTATAAAACGGAGAATACATTTGCAAGTGAATCAGATCAGCTTGAAGACTCACGGAACAGAACTATAGGGGCTTGAAGACTCAAGGAACAGAACTATAAGGGCTTGAAGACTAAATGTTCACCGAAAACATGCCTGTTTTACAGTTTGGAACAACCTTGGACACCTCCAAAAAACTAAAAGTAAGAATTCTTAATCTTGTTAACTCGCAATGGAAAATATTTTAATCAAGCTTTCAGTGTCATTTGTAATTGTTGGTTCTCAGTAAAGTTTCCGACACTGACAAGATAGCGAAAACTGAGAGACAGCTTAGTACCGACTTGGAAAAACTCAAATTACAACTTGAAATATAGTGATGAAAAATTTATGAAAGAAAGGAACAACTTACACATAGAGGAACTGAACATACTTTTTTCGTTTCATCCTAGAACGCTCAGAAAGCTCCTCGTGTATTGATTATTGGTGGCGGAGTTGTTGGAATGACCAGTGCTTTACAGTTGTTGAATAAAGGGTAAGTTTGTCACTGACTTATTTTTCTATATATGAAAAAAAGTTTGTAAAGAAGCGAAAAAAAATCGAGAGAAACATAAAGGTTTTGACGTCTTAGATCATTTGTTGGTGCCCAGTCTCATTTGTCCCTCAAATATCACCCTTGTTTTAGGTACAAAGTGACAGTCTTAGCGAAGGAGTACGCCTCCCCAGTCTCCTCCGGTAAACGTATCACTTCTGAGATCGCTGGCGCTCTGTGGGAGTGGCCTCCAGCGGTCTGTGGGCGACACACAAACGAAAAGTCACTGGAGAGAGCCAAGGTTTGGTGCATGGATGGCTATGCCAAGTTCATGGAGTTGGCTATGAACTCAAAGGAAACTGGAGCTTTCCTCAGACAATCTATCTTCTACTTTAAAGACAAGGTAATTCTTCATTTGCAGAACATTTTATCGGGGTAATCGTTTTGTCTTGTGTCTTGTAGTATTGAATTTATCTCTCAAATGTCAAAAAAGTTTTCAATTTAACACCAAACTCTTGCTTCAGGTGAACAATCTTCCTCAACAGTTGGAAAAGATGAACGAACTGAATCATTTGCCAGGATTCCGTCATGACGCCAAACTCATCGAAGAAACTGGTAAGTTTGATCATAGTAAAAAAAAAAAAAAAAGGGGCTTTCCCCTTTTCAATATTTTGCTGAACAATGAATAATCTTCGCTGAAAAGAGTCCACACTGAGAAAAAGGATTCCCGTTTGAACGCTTCGCTAACTACGAAGCTCTCCAATTGACAGCTAAATAAATAAGGAATATTGCTAATTTCTTCTCCTTCAGGTGTGAACACAGACACTGGTGTTGTGGACGCATATCAACATATGGCTCCCATGGTTGACACAGTCACCTACATGCAGTGGCTTTATAAACAGTGTCGTGACAAAGGCTGTCGCTTTGTACACGATGAGATTCACGGGTTGTTGAGAGATCAGGCAGAAGACTTGAAAAAGAAATACAAAGCTCAGCTGATATTCAACTGCTCTGGACTTAGCGCCAAAGAACTGGCAGGAGATGAAGATGTCTATCCCCTAAGAGGTAAATAACTTGTGTATGTCCTACTAAATCATATATGTTGGGCATCCTATGTGGGCCGATTGTAACAGACAAGAATTGAGTTGGCCTTGATTACCGATCTCTCTTTCCATTTTGCATTCCAGGAGTGATTCTTAAAGTGAGAAACGACGGAAGTTTGATGCCCAAACTCAATCACTCCATGTGCATCTCTATAATCAAGGAGTTCGACGAGTCAGATAAAGAAGGACAAAGCTTCGTGTTCATTCTACCGAGAGGTGACGACAAATTGTGGCTGGGTGGAATGGTACAACCTCATCAGTGGGACAGAGATCTGACGCTCGATTATCCACCAATCAGAAAGATGTTTGAGAAAGTAAAGGAGTTCTATCCACCTCTTCGTAACTATGGAGACGATGATGTAGAAGAAGTTTTGGTAGGCCTGCGTCCTGCTCGTCATGGTAACGTTCGTCTGGAGTGGGATCCTGTGTGTCCTTCTCTTCTGCACAACTATGGACATGGGGGCTCGGGTGTGACTTTCTCATGGGGCTGTGCTATTGAAGCCAGTGCTATGGTGGATCGTGTTTTTAAAAGACCACAGATTTACCTTTCAAAGCTATAACCTTTTTTCACCTTTTCCTGTTTTCGTAATTTATGAGCTCATTTTGAACTCCTTGTAGGAGACAGGTCTTGAATCAGCTGTGCGATCGAAGGCTATTGAATGAATTGAGAATGTTACTTGTGCATTGTACATTTTATTTATCAAAAAAAAAAAACAAAACAAAAGTTATATTATTATTCAAGCGAAATTTGTATAATACTGTATGAAATAGTGTGCGAGGCGAATATTGAATAAAGATTATTTTTTGTAAATTATTTATTTCTTTATTTTGCCGCATGGCCGGAGCAGACCCCAATGAGTTCCATTACGACTCGAACTGTCGGAATTGATCAACATGTAACTCCTGAGCACAATTTCAAATATAAGTTAGCATGCAGATTATGGGAATATTTAAATTTTAGATATATTTATCGATAAACAGTGGATAGCGTGGAGGGCTTTGATTGGCTTCTGATACTCTGACGATCCGCACGGAATTTGCACCTGAAAATATTTCAATCGTTGCAGGAATAAATGAGTTGAAATCATCTTTTGGTGTCCTATTATTTCACTATCTTAGTGTTCACGAAAACAGCTAAGAAGCGGTGGATATACATCACCGCTTTGCGCCTGGAGGAGGGTTTGGTCATGATGAAACATCAAATTCTGAATTATTTAAAAGAATAATGTAACGATCAAAATGGGGGCCTATTATCACTTTGTCGGGCATTACAGAGCACTTTGTGGACTTAAATGGAGAGTTTGGCGGGCTGAAATGTACTTCCTCTCACAAACTTCTAAGCAAACGCAGTGGAAGAACGTGACTGATATACACAGCACATAGGTCACGGATTGCAAGTCACGTAATCAAGTATTACTTATAGTGTCAGAAACGAGTTCTTTTGCTTAAAAATTTTTGTTTTTCATTCCACTTTATACAGCCTTAGACCCTTTAAAAGAAGGAAAGTACCGAACAAGATCACATCGAGAGTTCAAACTTTTCAAAGCTTTTAAGTTGAAGTTGGTGACTTGAGCCAAAAGCAGAACAAATTGATTTAGTATTCGTGATTGAGTGATAAATTTCCGGCTGATTGACGGCAAAACGTGTTCATAGATTTTTCCTCCGGCAATCTATCGTTCGCAAAAAGGTACACGTTGCGTGTACCTTTTTTTTTTACCTTCCTTAATAAAAGAAAATTAACAGTTCGGATATACAAGGAAACTTCATTCACTCTTTATTGTTGTCCTTTCAAAAAATCTTTAATTATTTTGACATCTTTACCATTGTCACCGAGTGACGTGAGTGTTATCACAACTAAACTCGCCTCATACAAATGACAAGGCAGTTTGATGTTTTGATCATCAAGTTTCTAAAAGATCGGATAAATTCCTCAGTCGCTATATGTGACGTTTAGTATTCTGATTGTAAGAGAAATAGCTCATTGGAACATCGTGATATTGATTAAGTTGGCATTCTGATCTGTTTTATTTTTGCATGCGTTACGTCAACTCTTTCCCTTAACAAATGTCCCCGAATTGGGTGGCTGTGAAGCTCCCAGCATGGAGTAGCGAATAGCTTAGAACACAATTTTTTTAACAATTTGAAAAAGCCGCAACTTAATTCAGGGCCGAAAAGCTTTTTAGGTAATTCCAATTGAGGCCCGGGTTGGTCCAGCTAAAGAGTCAGAATATTTGTTTTTGCTGTTAAGTTAAGACTCTGACGTAGTTTCAAATCTTTCCAAATGCTACTTGTTTAAAGCATTTTCACGCCCGAACACGGAGCCACTTACAATATAACAATTATCCGCTTTTGAGTCTATAGGTTTGCGACTTTGTTTATAATATAGCAAAACACTCACGAATGAAAAGCCGAGTAAAATTAGACAGAATATTACGCGTTAAAGAACTAAACAATATCCAACAATTTTGATTCCTTGGAGAACAACAGCAATGACTACAAAAAAATGACGACTTAAGAGATTTGTTTCAAATCTTTCCAAATGCTACTTGTTTAAAGCATTTTCACGCCCGAACACGGAGCCACTTACAATATAACAATTATCCGCCTTTGAGTCTATAGGTTTGCGACTTTGTTTATAATATAGCAAAACACTCACGAATGAAAAGCCGAGTAAAATTAGACAGAATATTACGCGTTAAAGAACTAAACAATATCCAACAATTTTGATTCCTTGGAGAACAACAGCAATGACTACAAAAAATGACGACTTAAGAGATTTGTTGGCACGAGAAGAAAAAGTGAAGCAGTAAATGAAGAATAAAATGAAGCAAAAAAATTCAGTTTAAATAGTGATGAAAACCCTAAATTGGTAGCACTGTATGCCCCATAAAAATTTTAAACCAGGTCTTTAGATTTAAAATAACGTTTGTGTGGTGATTAATTTGATTATAATTTTTTCATTTTTAATTCTTCAAGTCAGGAACGCGTTTTTTTGCTAACCCAACAGTGTAAAAAGTACAAGAGATTTTGGTTTTGCCTTATACGATGGGCTAGGCTGTACGCAAGCTGGCAGTAAACCAATTGATTTTTTGCTCCACTGTTGGCATCTAATCAATCCGCTAACAACAGATTTTCGAGAAGCATCCTTAATTAATAAGCCCCCGTTCAAACTGGGCCCACGCACCTACATTTTATCACTTACGTGTTCATGTATCAGTATCTTCTATCTGATTAGTGATGAGAATTCGGAAATGCAGATGGTGGAGGCGGTTTTTTCACGTTTTCTTCCAGTAAAATGCTATTTTTCTTTTTCTTTTTATTTTCGAGCGTTACACACGGAATGAACTCATTACCTGTAACAGTTTACCAACTTATATTTTTTTGTCTAGTCTCCACAGAAGAACAGCAAAAACCTTTTGACGCTATAAAGTAAACGTAGTGATCGTTCGCTCTGAGTCGAGTATACCTGATATGTCAATTTAAGGTCGTTTGACTCACCGCCCCTTGTTAAATGGATTTACTTCCGATGATTTAAATAAGCAGTTTGACGACATGTTTTCTATTGATCGATATGGGCCAGATTCATTGAGGCAAAACAAGCTATATCGAACGGTTTGATTGCGAGCCATCACGCAACACGCAACGTTCGTGCTGGGTGCCCAATGTCATGCGTAATGCATAAATACGTGACTGGTGTATTGTGTGACAACAAGTCTGTTGCTATGGGCGAATAGCGTCTTCAAGGAGTCCACGTGGAAATGACGGGTCTGTCAGTAAGTCACGTTCTCAAATTAACGTTTTCTGAGAATTTTTGAGTGAAAATGACATATCGAGAGAATATACATAGATGATAATTTCGTCCCCAATCCAGAGAGACTGAGTCGTCAATGTGTCGGTAGTCCCTGAGGCTTCTTTGCGAAAAAGTCACGTATTGCTTAACAGATACGTGCGGCTTTAAAGATTTTAGCTGTCAAACAGTCCCCTCTCCCCTCTCTCCCCTTCAGTAAGTCACGTTCTCAAATTAACGTTTTCTGAGAATTTTTGAGTGAAAATGACATATCGAGAGAATATACATAGATGATAATTTCGTCCCCAATCCAGAGAGACTGAGTCGTCAATGTGTCGGTAGTCCCTGAGGCTTCTTTGCGAAAAAGTCACGTATTGCTTAACAGATACGTGCGGCTTTAAAGATTTTAGCTGTCAAACAGTCCCCTCTCCCCTCTCTCCCCTTCCCCCCCCCCCAAAAAAAAAAACCAACAACAACAACAGCTTTATATATGACTTGATTCAAAATACCTCCGATAGACACTGAACCTCTCTCCCACAAGAAACAGCGTACATCAATACATGTACTTGTTGACCCTTTTTTTCAATTTTTTTTTAATGTGTGTACAGTAAACGTGACCTTTGGCTATTGTATGAGTTTGTCTGCGTAGGTACATGTTGTCTAGTCATGGTAGATTCCTCAGGAATATTGACGTCACGCGTTAATTTTTTAATTCACGCGAATTTTTCGATGCGAATTTTTCAAGGGCTAACGTGTTTTTCTATTAAAAAAAAAAAAGTTTAGAGAGAAGCGAAGAAAAATAAGGAAAAGTCACTGGAGAGAGCCAAGGTTTGGTGCATGGATGGCTATGCCAAGTTCATGGAGTTCGCTATGAACTCAACGCTGATGTAGGGGAGGTGTTGGTAGGCCTGTGTCCTGCTCGCCATGGTAACGTTCGTCTGGAGTGGAATCCTGAGTGTCCTTGTCTTCTGCACAACTATGGACATGGTGGCTCGTGTGACTTTTTCATGGGGCTGTGCTATTGAAGCCAGTGCTATGGTGGATCGTGTTTTTAAAAGGCCACAGATTTATCTTTCAAAGCTTTAACCTTTTTTCACCTTTTCCTGTTTTCGTAATTTATGAGCTCATTTTGAACTCCTTGTAGGAGACATGTCTTGAATCAGCTGTGTGATCGGAGGCTATTGAATGAATCGAGAATGTTACTTGTGCACTGTACATTTTATTTATCAAAGAAAGACAAAACTTGTATCATTATTTAAATGAAATTTGTGTAATACTGTATGAAAAAGTGTGCGAAGCAAATATTGGATAAAGGTTATTTTTGGTAAATTATTTATTTATTTATTTTGCCGCATGGCCGGAGCAGACCCCAATAAGTTCCATTACGACTCGAACTGTCAGAATTGATCAACATGTAACTCCTGTGCACAATTTCAAACATAACTTAGCATGCAGATTATGGGAATATTTAAATTTTAGATATACTTAAACAGTGGATAGCGTAGAGGGCTTTGATTGGCTTCTGATACTCCGACGATCCTTTGCTATTCATCTACGAGCAACTCGCACGGAATTTGCACCTGAAAATATTTCAATCGTTGCAGGAATAAATGAGTTGAAATCATCTTTTAGTGTCCTATTATTTCACTATCTAAGTGTTCACCATAACAGCCAACAAGCGGTGGATATATCAAGTGGAGGGTTTGGTCATGATGAAACATCAAATTCTGAATTATTTAAAAGAATTATGTAACGATCAAAATGGGGACTTATTAGCACTTTGTCGGGCATTGTAGAGCACTTTGTGGACTTAAATGGAGTTTTTGGCGGGCTGAAATGTATTTGATGCCGCTTGCACGCTCATGTGATTGTTCAGATCGTTTTGTTGTCATTTTTTTAAATGTTTGTTTTATCAATGCCCTCCAAAGTACTAAAATGACTCTGATTCGGGCCCAAAATATATTTATGCCCGCGAACATAA